CACATCAAGTGGAAAACTTCATTTCCTGCTTGCCTCTATCAAACCAGATCTTCACTATTTAGCACACTAACTCTGCCCTCTAACTAATGAACAATAAAAAAGGCAATTAGAAGCATTTATTTTTACTTCTTCCCTCCTCAAACAAGGAAATCCATTAGAATGCTTCTCCTGTCCTCTACCTTTCGGTTAAAAAAAAGAAATAAAATTAAGCTCGCTCTTTCTATCTTTCTCTCGCTCTCTCTCTCACTCTTTCTCACAGACACAAACACAAGCTAGGGAAGGGATGATCTATGCAAATTTGCAAAGAGGACCAATCATCTGAAGAACGGATGGGTCTAATTTGCTTATTGTGGGCAGTCAAAACCCTGCCATGAAACTGCTTTTTTCTTGTTGTGCCTTGAGGCTTCTCCTGCTTAGGCTCTAAGAGAGTAAAGGGAATGACAATTGCTATGCCTGTCATACTTTAAGGCCTTTCCTTTCATTGTGTCTTCCCTCTCTGCAGACAAAGTTGGAATCTGCTGCTCGTGGTTTTTATTACTGGATGTTAGACATGAACATCTAGAAAACATCTCAGTTACAGAAAATGTATTAATGTGATTGTGGGTGACAGGAGAAAGCCTGAACCATCCTTGGTGATTGGGGAGGGAGTTGGAATCTTGTCAGGTCTCTGCTCACTTTGCCAATAATAGGGGTCTTCTCTACAGGAACCATAAAGATTCCCAGCTCTATATTTTCTTTTGTTTCATGGATTAGGCAAGGCCTATTTCTGTATGCAGTGAGAGTTGCAGCCCTGGTTCAAGCAAGAAAATGAAGGAGGGGGAGCCATTTTGTTGCTACGATTGCACTCCCTGTCCAGAAGAGAAGATTTCAGACCAGATGGGTAAGCAATATCACATACAGAAATAGGAAGCAGATGGCCAGTAATTCAGAGGAAGGGGAATAAGCATAAATATATGCATACAATATGGTTACAGGTTTTATTCTTTTTTGGGGGGGGGAATGGTAAATCTGAGTGATGCAGAGGGCCTTGTTGAAGATGCAAAAATCCAACCTGGTTTCCTTGGTGGAATAATTTGACCTTGTGCTGAATGTGAGCTGATCAGACAGCAGCCTCCTTGCCTCATCTTCATCCCGTGATCTCAGAACAGGCAAAAAGAGGGGTTGGTTTTACTTGTCTTCCTTGTATGAGTTTCTGTGTTTATAAACAATCTCCTCCTTGAAGTCTCATTCAGATCCACAAATGCAGCGTGGCTAATAGTTTATCTGCTCAACTATAGGGAAATTGAGATGGGCTTGCAAGATTATGGCCTCTGTGGTTGATATTCACCTTCCCCAATCTTGTTGTCTCGTAATAGGAGAAAAAGGGGTTTGGCTTCTGGAAACTCTGTTTATATAAAATACACAATCACATATAAAAATTTTACATTTATACACACACACACACACACACACACACATTTTCCTTCTGACATACCCTGCCTCTCAGCCTCTGGGTTCTCACCTAGTATCCATACAAACTCTCAGCTCAACTAAAAAAGTCTAGCAATGAGAAGAGTTCCTGGAAACAGTGGACATCACCCTAGCCTCTTGTTTCTTATGGGCAGGCACAGGGGACTTGGTTCTTCCTCAGGCTGCCCTCCCCTGTGTCCCATTCAGCTGCACACCCACTTCCAGGAGCAACAGGTTTGTTGAGTTTCCCAGGTGGTCCAAAGGGTGGGGAAAGGGACCTCTTCACTCGCACTGCATTGATTGACTGATTGATTGATTGATTGATTGATTGATTGAATGAATGAATCTGTACACCCCCCTATACCCAGAGGTCTCTTTCTTTCTTTCTTTCTTTCTTTCTTTTATTTTTCTGTACCGCTTTAACAGAAAACTAAAATATTATCTTAATGATTTCAAAGAAAACATTTCAAAGGAGGTCAACTACAGAATACATATTTAACACAGCTGGGTGAATGTGGACCCCACCTCCTAGGCCAGGTGGAAAGGGCCTTGCAGGAAGCAGCCTTCTTGCCTTCATCACCCTCTGTCCTTTTCCCCTCCAGCTGCTGGAGGGAGAGAGAGAGAGGTGTGACATCATGAGAGAGCACAATGTATTAGTTGAGAAGAAAGTTTACATTTTAATTCACTTTAGATTAAGATTTTTTTTTAATGGCATAAAGAGTAAACAAAACAAAAAAGTGCAGAATGCTTTATTGAAATCTCTTGAACGTTCATGATAAACTGCCTTGGCAGAGGAAAATCAGGACCTGGTGTAACATTGTCCTTGGTAAAGCCCTACATTTGAGGTTTTGTTGTATATATTCCAAAAGGCCCAAATCTCATAGATTAATCATTCTTAGAGTCTGTTGGGATGACAGGACTACATAAACTTTAATCTGTGCAAGATTAGCATGGATTGTATGGTTTGGGACACCAATATAAACCTGATAACTCATTGCTTCTTCTTCAGATATGAATGACTGTTTTAAATGTCCAGATGAATATTATCCCAACAATAAACAGGATTTATGTATTCTGAAGGAAATCAGCTTCTTGTCTTATGAAGAACCTTTGGGGATCAGTTTAGCCTCTTTTCGCTTTCCTCTTCAATCATCGCTGCTCTGGTGCTAGGGACGTTTCTGAAGCACCACAACACTCCCATTGTCAAAGCCAACAACCGGGACCTCACCTACATGCTCCTCCTCTCCCTCCTGCTCTGCTTCCTTTGTGCATTGCTATTCATTGGACAGCCTCAGAAGGTGACATGTCTTCTACGACAACCTGTTTTTGGCATCATCTTCTCAGTGGCTGTTTCTTGTGTGCTGGCAAAAACAATCACTGTGATTCTGGCTTTCATGGCCACCAAACCAGGATCCAGGATGAGGAAATGGGTGGGGAAGAGACTGGCCAACTCCATTGTGATTTCCTGCTCCTTTATTCAAGCAACCATTTGTATTATGTGGTTGGCATTTTCTCCTCCTTTCCCAGATGTCGATAAGCACTCAACTTATGGAGAAATTGTTCTAGAATGCAATGAGGGTTCTGTAACTATGTTTTACTGTGTCCTGGGTTACATGGGCTTTCTGGCTGTGGCCAGTTTCAGTGTGGCTTTCCTTGCCAGGAAGTTGCCTGACAGTTTCAATGAAGCCAAGTTCATCACTTTCAGCATGTTGGTCTTTTGCAGTCTTTGGTTATCCTTTATTCCCTCCTACCTGAGCACTAAAGGAAAATATATGGTAGCTGTGGAGATCTTTTCTATCCTAGCCTCCAGTGCTGGGTTGCTGGGGTGCATCTTTTCCCCTAAATGTTATATCATTGTTTTAAGGCCTGGACTGAATGATAGGGAACAACTGATAAGACGAAAGGCTGGATGAATGTGCGGGTGGGTTTTGCTCTAGTCTGCACAACCAATGGATATTTTTTTTTTTTTGGGTGTTTATGAATTATTTTCTTGGTAAATTCGTTCTATTTCAATTTTCTTTGGACCTCTCTATCTTTTAAACATATATAGACACTCTCTTTCCTAAAATACAAAACGGTTGCAGTCTGTAGCAAGATCTCCTTATGTATAAACATGTGGCCATACACTTGAATTATTTGGCGCAAGTCATCTCGAAACCCAAGGACCTAAAACACATCTTGATCAGAGTTGTGCAACTTATACTCTAAGAGTAAGGGCTTAGAGACTTCAGCCAAATATTGCACGGCATGATTATATAGGATTTTGCCTGGTGCCTAAAGATATATAATAACGGTACCAGGTGAGCCACCCTGGGGAGAGGACTCCACAATCTGGGAACCACAGCAGAAAAGGCCTGTTCTCATGTTGCCACCTTCTGGACCTCTTGTGGAGCAGGCACAGGAAGAAGGGCCTCAGATGATGAGCACATGGTCTGGGTCAGTTCATTTGGGGAGGGGCAGTCCTTTAGACATTGTGGTTCTGAGCAACTGAAGGCTTAATAGGTCAAAACCATTACTTTTATTTGGCCTGGGAAAACAGTGCAATTGTGCCAGGATTGGTATTATATGCTCAAACTTTGCAAGAAAGTTTCTTGCACCAGTGAGAAACCTGGGTACTGAATTCTACACCAGCTGTAGTTTCCAAACCATCTTCAGAGGCAGCCCCTCATATAACACTTTGCAATAATCTAACTTACAAGTTACCAAAGCATAGACGAATTACATTAGGCCTTACTTGTCCAGCCACCAAGACCACCTGAGCTTCAAGTGACAGCAGTGAATTGATCATTATTCCCAGGTTGTGTACAATTCCCTTCAGATGGAGTGTAACAATCAAGAGCAGGCCACCTTCAATCCATACAGTCTAAGGAGCCCCCCGCTAATGTCCTGCAATGGTAGATATGCCATACACTAGCTCTTCAAATACACTAAGAATTGCATTACATGGTAAAGAAATATGGGCCATAAAGGCTGCAGATTAGAAGAAACCCAGAAGATCTCAAATTCATAGAGTAAGCAGTAGTATAATCACCTGGTGCTAAGCACTAAGGCAAACACAGTGACTTGCGGGGTTGTCAACTCTCAAGGCTCCAGAGCTATGGTGGAATCCTCATTAACTTGTGCATGGTGCCCCGTGCCCAGAACTGTTCCAACTGAAACAGAGAGGGTACTTCATTATACAATTTTCAGCAGTTGCTGGTCTCATCTCTTTACCCTGGCTTTCAACACTTGATATGCCAATTTCTAACACCCCCATATTTACTAAATGCTAAGTTGTTTAAAATACTGCTTCATTTGTTGTAACCCACCCCTGAGTGGGAGGACAGGTAATGTAATAGAGGGAGCAAGCAAAACCCTTGTGAAGCTACAGACATGGGCAAGCTTCTTGGGACCCTACATCAGTGCCCTCTCTGTCTTCCCAAAGGCTAAGGGGTTCTTTCTCTGGCATTCAGAAGCAAGACAAGAAACAAGTGGCAAAGGAGGGGTTTGAGGCTACAGATTGAAAGGACTCAGCAGCTGGGTTGCTACCAATTAGGCCTTGCTCTTCTATAATAATAATAATAATAATTTATTACGGCCGTAGGCCCATACAGATAAAAACAAGACATAAATAACAGCCTGTGCACATGGGAAAAAAACAGCCGCTAAAACACTACTATAACAATAAGCTACTATAAGATGGAATGGCATACTACGCCTTAATTAGCTTGTGGTGCTCCTTGGCGACGCTTTTGGGTAAGGACAGCGACCAGGAACCTAGCCACTTTCAGGGTCGTATGGGCATCCTTATCCTGCAAGATTTGGGCAAGGTGGAATTTTGGTGGAGTACCCTCTAATTTCTGTATGATTGATCCCAACAAGTTTGCCCGTGGCACCTTAAATAAGGGGCAAGTGAACATAATGTGCTGAAGCGACTCCGGCATCTCCTTATCACATTCGCACATGGCGGAGGTTTGGCCCTTTGAGAATCTATGTCTCAGGACATTGGAGGGAAAACATTAAACCTCGCTTTGGTGAAGGCCAGCCTATGGGCAACAGTCGAAAGGGAGGAGAGGTATGATGGAACGCAATAAGTTAAAGTGATACCAATGTTCTGGGGCGAACAAACACCTCCCCCCAGCATATAATTTTGCTGTAAATCGATGTCATCCAGTCTTTGGCGGATCAGTCTTTGAGCAGTGATTTGATCTAGTTTTAGGGAATCTAAGGGAGAGATTCCATAGCTCAGGAGTTTGGCATGAATTCTACTGGTCCAAAGGCTGGGGAATTCATCTCGCCATAAGCATTGGGCAAGGTAATGGTCTGGTAATCTATGCCACAATGATAACCAATAATTGAAGACTTGCTTCCACAGGCAGGTTTCTAAGGATGCGATCCTCAATTCTAAACGCATGGCTGCGTTGCTTACGCACAGGGGAGCATTAGGAGCCGACGTAGGAATTGGTTTTGCAAAGTCTCAAGAGGAGCAAGGTCTGTCATCACGACCCAGAGCGGGGCAGCATAAGCAAGCACGGGAACCACTTTTGCCTTGAACACCTTTAGGGCCGAGGGAACATGCAAAGCTCCATCCGAAAAGAAAAATCGGAGGAGCGCATATGACAGAGTTTTGGCCTTATTAAGTAGGTGTTGAATATGTGCTTTCCACCCCAAATTGTATTGAAAAATAACTCCTAGGTATTGAAATTTTAGGACTTGCTCTATTTTTGCTCCACCAAGCTTCCATTCGTATAATCTCCGACTTCTGGCGAAAATCAGAATCTTAGATTTAGCATGATTGATGGTTAATTGGTTGAGTTGACAATACGTGGCAAAGATCTTCAGAGCTCTGGTTAGTCCAACACGTGTATAAGATAGAATTACCGCGTCGTCCGCATATAAAGGAGTGGACAGCGGTAATCCGCTAGTCTAGGCGCATGTGTACTTGGAGATGAGTTGACTAGGGGTGCTCGCATGTCGCTGATGAATAGATTGAATAGGCAGGGGGCCAATATACATCCTTGGCGCACTCCCTTGTTTATTGGTATCGAATTTGTGAGGTCGCCCGCAGGAGTAAGTCTCACTCTGGCAAGGGTACCTTCGTGGAGCTGACTTATAAGCCATAAGAGCCTTCTATCGATGCCCTGTTTCGCAAGTTTCTCCCAAAGAATATTTCTAGGAACGCTGTCGAAGGCTGCCTTAAGATCTAAGAAGGCAGCACACAGATAGCCCCGGGAGGGGAGGAGTACTTCCGTGCCAGATGGTAAAGAACTATCGCATGATCAGTTGTAGAGCGTTTAATTCTGAACCCTGCTTGTTCGTGGCCAATCTGGTTAGTCTCATCTACCCATCGCGATAGTTTCGTCAGCAAAAAGCTGGCATAAATTTTCCCTATGATCGAAAGGAGGCTGATGTTACGGTAATTTTCCGGCTCCATTGGAGAACCTTTTTATGAATTGGTACTATAATGGCCTCCTTCCATATTTTGGGGATGATACCAGAAGCGTTGATTGCGTCGAAGGTTTTGGCCAAGATGCCAGCCCACCATTTTGGGTGTAGTTTGATGGCTTCAGCAGGGATCAGGTCGGGCCCTGGGGCTTTGCCCAACTTCAGCTGGGCTATTAGCTTGGCTATTTCGCCAGGATCGGTGGGAGGCCAAATAGGTAGGTGGGAGAACAGATGCATCAGATGGTCGGAGGGAGCATCTGCCTGTGAGAAACATTTCTTCAGGAACAATTCCCATGTCGGTGCAGGGATGACTGCCCTTGGGTATTTCCTCACCCTTCTGTTAATCAGAGACCAGAATTCCCTGGATCTATGTGATTTTGAAGCAGTAATCAAGGCCTGCCAGCGATTATGTTGCCACTCACGTTTGGCAATTTTCTGCGTGCGTTTATAAACTTGCTTGGCTTGTGCATAACTAGCTGGCAGAGTAGATGCATCGGAGGTCTTATATACATTATATATATCACGAAGGCGCTGTCTTGCTTGTTTGCACTGAGAGTTATACCAGGGGGCACCGTAAGTATACTCGTTTCGATTTAATATTTTGGGTGGTAACCTGAAGAAGGACGTAAGGTCAGTCGTATGATGACCTTAAAAGTAAGACTCACTCTGCCTTCCAACTTCATTGATGAGCCCGCCCACCACATTTCCACCACATTTCCTAATTAGAAAATTCCTCCCTCCCCAAAAGCTGGGGTATGTGTTGGTAGGTAAAGGTAAAGGGACCCCTGACCATTAGGTCCAGTCGTGGCTGACTCTGGGGTTGCAGAGTTCATATCACTTTACAGGCAGAGGGAGCTGGCATTTATCCACAGACAGTTTTTCGGGTCATGTGGCCAGCATGACTAAGCCACTTCTGGCAAACCAGAGCATCTCATGGAAACGCCGTTTACCTTCCCGCCGGGGCGGTACCTATTTATCTACTTGCTTTCAAAGTGCGAGGTTGGCAGGAGCAGGGACCGAGCAACTGGAACTCACCCTGTCGCGGGGATTCGAACCGCCGACCTTCTGATCGGCAAGTCATAGGCTCTGTGGTTTAACCCACAGCGCCACCCACCTCCCTATGGGTTGGTAAGTTGCCTTTAAATCTTCAGCACAGTGCTCCTAATACAAGTTTAAGGGTACATGAACGCCAAACTATGATGTTATACGTCTGAAGCCTTGGTGCCTCCCTCATCCAAGCCAAAGTATTATTTGATACTCAACTACGTGGAAGGTGTGGGGGAATCTTCAGATGTAACAAACAAGTTTCCTCCTGCAATTACACAGAGAAACCCCAACGTTGACTTTGTAATTATTTTCCTCTGTCATTACAGCAATGACTATTATTAATTTTGTTGCACGCTGAACCCCCTGTGGAATTCGAATAGGAAATAAAAAAAGAAAGTTGTTATTTGGTAAATATACGCACAAGAATTCATAACTACCGCTAGGGCTTAGTGGTATTTATACTTCAGAGTTCTGGTCTATTTAAAAACCGAATAAACATTTAAATCAGCCTTTGCAACTGGTGACATTGAAATAAGGGAGTTTTCTGTGGAAAGAGTGTCATGTTTCTCAAGTGAAGATTTGCCTTCACACTCAGGATGGCGACTTTGCTTATGTTGCTGCTGGCACTGCTTCCTGAAATGTCATGCAAGACTCACATTGTGAAGTGTCATGTCCATGATCCACACCCTCCACTTCACAAGTATCACCGGTCAGGAGACCTCATCCTTGGTGGCTTAGCTTCTCACAGCTTCATCATTTCCAATGCATTAGCCTTCACTAAAGAACCCCCACAGGCATTGCCTGAAGAGCTTGCGTAAGGAGTTGCTCTTTCTTTTATCTCTTTCTGTTTTTCTTAGCTTCTTTCTCTGAATATTGAAAGCTAGGGCATATGGATTTTTGAAGATAGAAAGCATAAAGAATTCAATTAAGGATATGTCCCTTGTTCCCCATAGCAAGATAATAGAATATGATAAATATAAATTTCTTTCACTGACTAATATAGGCTTGCATAGACTAGTTCCATATCTATTATGAAATCTGTTGTGGTCCACCTTAACAGGGAAAGGAATCTCAGTGATATGCAATAGATTTTGTATTCTTCCTTTATATGTTCCAGAATTAAAAAAATGTTTTTAACACATAAAAGGGGGTTAATAGGCTTACTAAAAAACAAAAACCAAGCAATTTTGTACGCTACCCTGGACTGCATCCACAAATGTGGTTTAAAATACTCTACTATTTCATAAAGCAAACAATGATAAGAATTCAATAATTGTGATTTATAAAATGAGAGATATCTTTTTGATACAGAATGCAATTCGTATTTCAGAGTAGTGACTAAGAATTACCAGCACATCCTAGCCTTGGAATTTGCAGTGAAGGAGATCAATGACAACCCTCAGATCTTACCCAATACCACCTTGGGCTTCCACATATTTGACAGCTATTTCATTGCAAAAGGGACCTATCATGCTACAATGCTGCTAATGTCCAGCCCAAACAGATTGGTCCCCAACTACAAATGCGACATCCATCATCATTTGATAGCAGTCATTGGGGGACTGGACCCCCTAACCTCTCTTCATGCTGCAACAGTCTTGGATATCTATAAAATTCCACAGGTATAATGTGTCCATCTCTGTGCGGAGCATCATGGATTTAAAGTTGTTGTTTTACTTTCATGGTTGCATTGCTTGCCATATTTCACCTTGTGGTGCAGAGGCCAAAATATGTGAACTGGTGTGGTGAATACAGCATAAGCTTCAATACCACAGCAAGACTCTTATACAGGGTATACGATTTTGAATTTATTGATACAATTTGGAAAACACACACGAAATAAATACTTTTTATTTGAAGAGAGACCAATTATGCAGGTTGATTTTCATTCAGTCACCAATCTTTTGGGGTGAAATGTACAAAAGTCTCACGGTTGTAAACATCATTGCCTCACAAATTTAATACAAGGAGATTGAAATGATGGTGATTGAGTGGGAGTTGAAAACGGCAGCTTTCGGATTGTGCTTCTCAGAAGTGGAGTGACAAGTTATGGAGCATAAATCCCATCAAAGGAAAATTTAGATGCGAATTCATGGGACTATGCTAAAATTAACCCACATTTGGTATCGAATATCTACCAGACTGTACTACATGAAGTTGATGTTATGCCCACATTGTGTTCGCAGGAATGAAGGAAGAAGGGTGTATGTATGTCTTTATGAAGGAAATTTGCATTTACTAATGATTTGTGGTGCCGTAGCATAGGATAGACATGGGCATGCAAAATGTTGGCAGAAGGGTGTCTGTGTGTCTTTATGCCGGGAGTACAAGCCCATGTTAGAACAGAAGCTGGGAAATGTGTTTTGACTGAAAAAGAAAGCTACAAAAATGTAGAGTGTCCAGGGTTTAAATACAGCAGGACACTTATTTTCTTGGAAACATGGTACCTTTCTTGTTCTTCTTTATAGTGACAGTCTTCAACCTCCAATTTTCACTTTTATTTGTTGGAGTACGCTTAATTGGCAACAGTAACACAAAAGACTCAAGAAGTATTTCAGTATTATTTTCAGCATCTTGTATTGAGTGATGGTGCAACATTGTCCTTACTCAAAAGGTAACTTAAATGTTGAATAAAAATGACTGAATATATTCATAAAACTATTCCTATTCTTTCTTTTTCTTCTGCAATCCATTTTAGCTCATATATAGTCCGGCTCCAGTCATGGAGGATAAAACTCCAGGCCTTTCCTTCTACCAAATGGTCCCACAGGAAGCCCTTCAGTATAAGGGGATTCTCTCCTTACTTCTGCATTTCAGGTGGACCTGGGTTGGACTTTTTACTATGGATCTTGAGAACGGAGAAAGATTTCTGCAAGCCGTGGTTCCAATGTTTACTTCTAGTGGCATTTGTTTTGCCTTTATTGAGAGAGTATCCAAATTATCTCTTGTCACTGATCTTAAAGACTTAATACAGCAGGGTGCAAAAATATATGATAAAGTAATGAGTAGCAAAGTCAATGTGATAGTCCTCTATGGAGAATCTTATTCTATGATATTTCTGAGATGGCTTCCATATTTATCTGAGCAAGAACATGTGAAAATTAACCCAAAGGGTACAGTGTGGATAATGACAGCCCAGGTGGAGCTGACTTCTCTCGTTTATCAAAGGACTTGGGATAAAGAAATAATACACGGGGCTCTGTCCTTTGCAATTCACTCCAATGATATATCAGGATTTCAACAATTTACTGCCAGCAGAAAACCTGCCACCTCAAAAGAAGATTATTTCATCAAGGACTTCTGGCAGCAGGCCTTTGCCTGTTCATTCCCAAGTACAGGTGCAGAAGATATGGATGGGGATATCTGCACCGGAGATGAGAATGTGGGGACTCTTCCTGGGCCTTTCTTTGAATTGAACATGATTGGCCATAGCTACAGTATCTACATGGCTGTTTTTGCCATGGCACATGCTGTTCATGACATGTTCTCATGGAGACTCAAATCAAGAATGTTAAAGGACCAAGGGCAGTTGTCATTTCAAAATCAACAGCCATGGCAGGTAATGAAGCCAATTTTCTCTTCCAGTAGAGCACCGTATCATGGGTGCTGAAATAGTCCATGGTTTGTTCCATAAATTATCTCCCTGATTTTTGTTTGTTTGTTCTTCTTTGATTCTGTTGCCACTGAATATATTTGTTAGACTGATACACATCCTCTTCTTCTGATTTCCTTTTTCAAATATAGTTCCATCATTTCCTCAGAGGTGTATTATTTAATAATAGTGCTGGAGATGAGGTTTCCTTTAACCAGAATGGGGAGTTGAAAGTTGGGTTGGATGTTATTAATTGGATTGTTTCCCTAAACCAATCCTTTCATAAAATTAAAGTTGGGAGGATGGATCCCCAGGCTTCTTCACATCAAGTGTTCACCATCCATGAAGACGCTATAACATGGCAAAGGCGGTTTAACAAGGTAGGAAGAGATCCAGTTTGGAATGAACATTGACTTCAGTACTGTTTGTAAACATCATTTCACTTAACCACAATGATTTTGTGATGTGTGAAAAAATCTTGAGCTGGTCAGGGAAATTACACTTCATGAACTTATTCACTATGGTAGTGTTACAGATTATTATTTTAAGAATTATTATTTTTTTGAGAAATTGATAGATGAACTAAATATATTCATCTTTTGCTTTGAATATATGTCAAATGATGATCTTTGGTTGAGATCCAAAGTTTGTCATGCACATTGATTTCATTGTATCAGTTCAGAGCACTCCATCTTTGAATATCACTTAAGATCATTTTCATTCAAAACATTCAAAATTCTATCAGAAAGACCAAAGTACAGTAGTACCTCGGGTTACAAACCTCGCCCCAGGTTGAGAACAGAAATCATGTGCCGCGTTGCGGCGTCAGTAGGAGGCCCCATTAGCGAAAGCGGACCACAGGTTAAGAACAGACGTTAGGAACAAATTAAGTTCATAACCGGAGGTACCCCTGTGTATGTAACCTTTATTCGTTTTATTTACGAAATAATCTTTGGCAGCGTGGTTGAAACCAGCTCTATGAAAAGGAGGAAGTGAGAAAACCAGGTAGAATCTCCTCTTTTGTTCCCCACCTTTCCATCAGGTGGAAAATATTATTTCTTGCTTGCCTCTATCAAACCAGAACTTCACTATTTAGAACACTAACTCTATCATCTTCCTAATGCCCAATGAAAAAGGCAATTACAAGCATTTCTTTTTACTTCTTTCCTTCTCAAACAAGAAACCGATTTAGAATTCTTCTCCTGTCCTGTACCTTTTGGTTAAAAGGGGTGAGCTAACACCCCAGAGGACAGGATCACACTTCAAAACGACCTTGACAGATTAGAGAACTGGGCAAAAACAAACAAGATGAATTTTAACAGGAAGAAATGTAAAGTATTGCACTTGGGGGGAAAAAATGAGAGGCACAAATACAAGATGGGTGACACCTGGCTTGAGAGCAGTACATGTGAAAAGGATCTAGGAGTCTTGGTTGACCACAAACTGGACATGAGCCAACAGTGTGACGTGGCAGCTAAAAAAGCCAATGCAATTCTGGGCTGCATCAATAGGAGTATAGCATGTAGATCAAGGGAAGTAATAGTGCCACTGTATTCTGCTCTGGTCAGACCTCACCTGGAGTACTGTGTCCAGCTCTAGGCACCACAATTCAAGAAGGACACTGACAAACGTGTCCAGAGGAGGGCAACCAAAATGGTCAAAGGCCTGGAAAAGATGCCTAATGAGAAACGGCTAAGGGAGCTGGGGATGTTTAGCCTGGAGAAGAGGAGGTTAAGGGGTTATATGATAGCCATGTTCAAATATATAAAAGGATGTCACATAGAGGAGGGAGAAAGGTTGTTTTCTGCTGCTCCAGAGAAGCGGACACGGAGCAATGGATCCAAACTACAAGAAAGAAGATGCCACCTAAACATTAGGAAGAACTTTCTGACAATAAGAGCTGTTCGACAGTGGAATTTGCTGCCAAGGAGTGTGGTGGAGTCTCCTTCTTTAGAGGTCTTTAAGCAGAGGCTTGACAACCATATGTCAGGAGTGCTCTGATGGTGTTTCCTGCTTGGCAGGGGGTTGGACTCGATGGTCCTTGTGGTCTCTTCCAACTCTATGATTCTATAAAAAAGGAAATACAGTCAGTCTCTCTCTCTCTCTCTCTCTCTCTCTCTCTCTCTCACACACACACACACACAGAGAGAGAGAGAGAGAGAGAGAGAAACACAAGCTAGGGATGGGATGATCTATGCAAATTTGCAAAGAGCAACCATCATATGAAGAATGGATGGTTCTGATTTGCTTATGGTGAGCAGTCAAAAGCCGGCCCTGCAACTGCTTTTTGTTTGTTTGTGTGCCTTTGAGGCTTCTCCTGCTTTACCTTCTAAGAGAGTAAAAGGAGCAGACAATTGCTATGCCTGTCATACTTTAAGGCCTTTCCTTTCATTGTGTCTTCCCTCTCTGCAGACAAAGTTGGAATCTGCTGCTCGTGGTTTTTATTACTGGATGTTAGACATGAACATCTAGAAAACATCTCAGTTACAGAAAATGTATTAATGTGATTGTGGGTGACAGGAGAAAGCCTGAACCATCCTTGGTGATTGGGGAGGGAGTTGGAATCTTGTCAGGTCTCTGCTCACTTTGCCAATAATAGGGGTCTTCTCTACAGGAACCATAAAGATTCCCAGCTCTATATTTTCTTTTGTTTCATGGATTAGGCAAGGCCTATTTCTGTATGCAGTGAGAGTTGCAGCCCTGGTTCAAGCAAGAAAATGAAGGAGGGGGAGCCATTTTGTTGCTACGATTGCACTCCCTGTCCAGAAGAGAAGATTTCAGACCAGATGGGTAAGCAATATCACATACAGAAATAGGAAGCAGATGGCCAGTAATTCAGAGGAAGGGGAATAAGCATAAATATATGCATACAATATGGTTACAGGTTTTATTCTTTTTGGGGGGGGAATGGTAAATCTGAGTGATGCAGAGGGCCTTGTTGAAGATGCAAAAATCCAACCTGGTTTCCTTGGTGGAATAATTTGACCTTGTGCTGAATGTGAGCTGATCAGTCCGCAGCCTCCTTGCCTCATCTTCATCCCGTGATCTCAGAACAGGCAAAAAGAGGGGTTGGTTTTACCTGTCTTCCTTGTATGAGTTTCTGTGTTTATAAACAATCTCCTCCTTGAAGTCTCATTCAGATCCACAAATGCAGCGTGGCTAATAGTTTATCTGCTCAACTATAGGGAAATTGAGATGGGCTTGCAAGATTATGGCCTCTGTGGTTGATATTCACCTTCCCCAATCCTGTTGTCTCGTAATAGGAGAAAAAGGGGTTTGGCTTCTGGAAACTCTGTTTATATAAAATACACAATCACATATAAAAAATTTACATTTATACACACACACACACACACACACACACACACACACACACATTTTCCTTCTGACATACCCTGCCTCTCAGCCTCTGGGTTCTCACCTAGGATCCATACAAACTCTCAGCTCAACTAAAAAAGTCTAGCAATGAGAAGAGTTCCTGGAAACAGTGGACATCACCCTAGCCTCTTGTTTCTTATGGGCAGGCACAGGGGACTTGGTTCTTCCTCAGGCTGCCCTCCCCTGTGTCCCATTCAGCTGCACACCCACTTCCAGGAGCAACAGGTTTGTTGAGTTTCCCAGGTGGTCCAAAGGGTGGGGAAAGGGACCTCTTCACTCGCACTGCATTGAATGACTGACTGATTGATTGATTGATTGATTGATTGAATGAATGAATCTGTACACCCCCCTATACCCAGAGGTCTCTTTCTTTCTTTCTTTCTTTCTTTCTTTCTTTTATTTTTCTGTACCGCTTTATATTTTTAAGAAAAATCTCAAAACGCTATACAGCTTATTAAATCAATAAAACATAAATAAAACAATCTGAACAAAGTCAAATATAGAGTATGAAGTCAAAGAAACATAACAGAAAACTAAAATATTATCTTAATGATTTCAAAGAAAACATTTCAAAGGAGGTCAACTACAGAATACATATTTAACACAGCTGGGTGAATGTGGACCCCACCTCCTAGGCCAGGTGGAAAGGGCCTTGCAGGGAGCAGCCTTCAGGGCTTCTTCACCCTCTGACCTTTTCTCCTCCAGCGGCTGGAGGGAGAGAGAGAGAGGTGTGACATCACGAGACAGCACAATGTACATTAGTGCAGCAGAAAGTTGACATTTTAATTCACCTTAGATTAAGATTTTTTTTAATGGCATAAAGAGTAAACAAAACAAAAAAGTGCAGAATGCTTTATTGAAATCTCTTGAACGTTCATGATAAACTGCCTTGGCAGAGGAAAATCAGGACCTGGTGTAACATTGTCCTTGGTAAAGCACTACATTTGAGGTTTAGTTGTATATATTCAAAAATGCCCAAATCTCGTAGATAAATCATTGCTTGGAGTCTGTTGGGATGACAGGATTACATAAACTTTAATCTATGCAAGATTAGCATGGATTGTATGGTTTGGGACACCAATATAAACCTCATAACTCATTGCTTCTTCTTCAGATATGAATGACTGTTTTAAATGTCCAGATGAATATTATCCCAACAATAAACAGGATTTATGTATTCTGAAGGAAATCAGCTTCTTGTCTTATGAAGAACCTTTGGGGATCAGTTTAGCCTCTTTTTCGCTTTCCTCTTCAATCATCGCTGCTCTGGTGCTAGGGACGTTTCTGAAGCACCACAACACTCCCATTGTCAAAGCCAACAACCGGGATCTCACCTACATGCTCCTCCTCTCCCTCCTGCTCTGCTTCCTTTGTGCATTGCTATTCATTGGACAGCCTCAGAAGGTGACATGTCTTCTGCGACAACCTGTTTTTGGCATCATCTTCTCAGTGGCAGTTTCTTGTGTGCTGGCAAAAACAATCACAGTGATTCTGGCTTTCATGGCCACCAAACCAGGATCCAGAATGAGGAAATGGGTGGGGAAGAGGCTGGCTAACTCCATTGTGATTTCCTGCTCTTTTATCCAAGCAACCATTTGTATTATGTGGTTGGCATTTTCTCCCCCATTCCCAGATGTCGATAAGCACTCAGCTTATGGAGAAATTGTTCTAGAATGCAATGAGGGTTCTGTAACTATGTTTTACTGTGTCCTGGGTTACATGGGCTTTCTGGCTGTGGCCAGTTTCAGTGTGGCTTTCCTTGCCAGGAAGTTGCCTGACAGTTTCAATGAAGCCAAGTTCATCACTTTCAGCATGTTGGTCTTTTGCAGTGTTTGGTTATCCTTTATTCCCTCCTACCTGAGCACTAAAGGAAAATACATGGTAGCTGTGGAGATCTTTTCTATCTTAGCCTCCAGTGCTGGGGTGCTGGGGTGCATCTTTTCCCCTAAATGTTATATCATTGTTTTAAGGCCTGAACTGAATGATAAGGAACAGCTGATAAGATGAAAGGCTGGATGAATATGTGGGTGTGTTTTGCTCTAGTCTGCACAACCAATGGATATTTGGTTGTTTGGGTGTTTATGATTTTTTTTTCTTGGTAGATCTGTTCTATTCCAATTTTCTTTGGACCTCTCTATCTTTTAAACATATATACACACTCTCTTTCCTAAAATACAAAACGGTTGCACTCTGTAGCAAGATCTCCTTATGTATATACATGTGGCCATATACTTGAATTATTTACAGCAAGTCATCTTGCAAGCCATGAACCTATAACACAGAGTTGAGCAGAGTTGTGTAACTTAAACTCTAAGAGTAAGGATTCAGAGAATTTAGCCAAATAATGAATGTGCATGGCCTGGACAGACTTTGCCTGGTGCCTAAAGATATATAATGATGGTAGCAGGTGAGCCACAATGAGGAGAGCACTCCACAAATAGGGAATCACTGCAAAAAAAGGCCTGTTCTCGTGTTGCCATCCTCTGGACCTCTTGTGGAGCAGGCACAGGAAGAAGGGCCTCATATAATGAGCACATGGTCTGGGTCAGTTCATTTGGGGAGAGGCAGTCCTTGTGGCATTGTGATCCTGAATAACTGAAGGCTTCATTGGAAAAACCAGCACTTTTATTTGGCCTGGAAACTAATAGGTAGTGTGGCAGTTGTACCATTATTGTTGTTATATGCTCAAACATTCTTGCACCGGTAAGCAACCTGGCCACTGAATTCTACACTAGCTGTAGTTTCCAAACAATCTTCGGAGGCAGACCCTTATATAACACATTGCTGTGATCTCACCTAAAAGTTACCTTTCAAGTACTCATCCAAGCCAAAGCATCCTTTGATACTCAAGTAGATGGAAGGAAAGAGGAAATCTTCAGATGTAACAAACAAGTTTCCTTCTGTAATTACACAGAGGAACCCCAACCTTGACTTTGTAATTATTTCCCTCTGTTATTACAGCAATTACTATTATTAATTATGTTGCATGTTGAACCCCCTGTGGAATTTGAATAGGAAAGAAATTGAAAGTTGTTATTTAGTCAATATACCCGTTAGAATTTATAACTACTGCTAGGGTATATTGGTGTTTAAACTTCAGGGTTCTGGCCTATTTGAAAACTGAATGAACATTTAAATCAGCTGGTGACATTCAAATAATGGAATTTTCAGTGAAAAGAATGTCATGTTTCTCAAGTGAATATTTGCCTTCAGACTAAGGATGGCGACATTTGCTATTTTACTGCTGACACTGCTTCCTGAAATGACATGCAAGTCTCACATTGTGAAGTGTCATGTCCATGATCCACACACTCCACTTCACAAGTATCACCGGTCAGGAGACCTCATCCTTGGTGGATTAGCTTCTCACAGCTTCATCATTTCCAATGCATTAGCCTTCACTAAAGAACCCCACAGGCATTGCCTGAAGAGCTTGCGTAAGGAGTTGCTCTTTCTTTTATCTCTTTCTGTTTTTCTTAGCTTCTTTCTCTGAATATTGAAAGCTAGGGCATATGCATTTTTGAAGATAGAAAGCATAAAGAATTCAATTAAGGATATGTCCCTTGTTCCCCATAGCAAGATAATAGAATATGATAAATATAAATTTCTTTCACTGACTAATATAGGCTTGCATAGACTAGTTCCATATCTATTTTGAAATCTGTTGTGGTCCATCTTAACAGGGAAAGGAATCTCAGTGATATGTGATAGATTTTGTATTCTTCCTTTATATGTTCCAGAGTTAAAAAAATGTTTTTAACACATAAAAGGGGGTTAATAGGCTTACTAAAAAACAAAAACCAAGCAATTTTGTACACTACCCTGGACTGCATCCACAAATGTGGTTTAAAATACTCTACTATTTCATAAAGCAAACAATGATAAGAATTCAATAATTGTGATTTATAAAATGAGAGATATCTCATTTTATAAATCACAATTTAACAAACAAAACCCTTGCACTCTGAAGCAATATCTCCATACACACACACACACACACACACACACACACACATGTTTCCATAAACCTGAATTATTTCTAATAAGTCAACTTGAAACCCATGAACCTAAAACAAATCTTGATCAGAGTTGTGCAACTTATACTCTAAGAATAAGGGCTTAGAGAATTTAGCCAAATTTTGCATGGCCTGGTTATGTAGGAAAGAATTTGCCCGGTGCCTAAAGATATATAATGACGGTACCAGGTGAGTCACCCTGGGAAGAACACTCCACAAATAGAGAATCATGACAGAAAAGGCCTGTTCTCATGTTGCCACCCTCTGGATTTCTTGTGGAGCAGGCACAGTAAGAAGGGCCTCAGGTGATGAGCACACAGTCTGGGTCAGTACATTTGGGGATGTGCAGTCCTTGTGACATTGTGGTTCTGAGTAACTGATGGCTTAATAGGTCAAAACCATTACTTTTATTTGGCCTTGGCAACCAATTGTGCCAGGATTGGTATTATATGCTTAAACTTTCTTGCACTGGTGAGCAACCTGGTTACTGAATTCTACACCAACTGTAGTTTCCAAACCATCTTCAGAGGCAGCCTCAAATTCATAGAGTAAGCAGTATTATAATCACCTGGTACTAAGCACTAAGGCAAACACAGTGACTTGCTGGGTTGTCAACTCTCAAGGCCCCAGAGCTATGGTGGAATCCTCATTAACTTGTGCATCGTGCCCAGTGCCAAATCCCTGAACTGTTCCAACTGAAACAGAGAGGGTACTTCATTATACAACTTTCAGCAATTGCTGAAGTCTCATCTCTTTACCCTGGCTTTCGACACTTGATATGCCAATTTCTAACACCCCCATATTTACTAAATGCTAAGTTGTTTAAAATACTGCTTCATTTGTTGTAACCCACCCCTGAGTGGGAGGACAGGTAATGTAATAGAGGGAGCAAGCAAAACCCTTGTGAAGCTACAGACATGGGCAAGCTTCTTGGGACCCTACATCAGTGCCCTCTCTGTCTTCCCAAAGGCTAAGGGGTTCTTTCTCTGGCATTCAGAAGCAAGACAAGAAACAAGTGGCAAAGGAGGGATTTGAGGCTACAGATTAAAAAGACTCAGCAGCTGGGTTGCTACCAATTAGGCCTTGCTCTTCTAAAAGTAAGACTCGCTCTGCCTTCCACCTTCATTGATGAGCCCGCCCACCACATTTCCACCACATTTCCTAATTAGAAAAGGCCTCCCTCCCCACAAGCTGCGGTATGTGTTGGTAGGTAAAGGTAAAGGGACACCCGACCATTAGGTCCAGTCGTGGCTGACTCTGGGATTGCGGCGTTCATCTCGCTTTATTGGCCGAGGGAGCCGGCGTACAGGTGCCAGGTCATGTGGCCAGCATGACTAAGCCACTTCTGGCGAACCAGAGCAGCACAAGGAAATGCCGTTTACCTTCCTGCCGGGGCGGTACCTATTTATCTACTTGCTTTCAAACTGCTAGGTTGGCAGGAGCAGGGACTAAGCAATGGGAGCTCACCCTGTCGCGGGGATTCGAACCGCCGACCTTCTGATTGGCAAGTCCTAGGCTCTGTGGTTTAACCCACAGCACCACCCGCATCCCTATGTGTTGGTAAGTTGCCTTTAAATCTTCAGCACAGTGCTCCTAATACAAGTTTAAGGATACATTAACGCCAAACTATGATGTTACACGTCTGAAGCCTTGGTGCCTCCCTTATCCAAGCCAAAGTATTATTTGATACTCAACTACGTGGAAGGTGTGGGGGAATCTTCAGATGTAGCAAACAAGTTTCCTCCTGCAATTACACAGCGGAACCCCAACGTTCACTTTGTAATTATTTTCCTCTGTCATTACAGCAAGGACTATAATTAATTTTGTTGCATGCTGAAACCCCTGTGGAATTCGAACTGGAAAGAAAAAAAGAAAGTTGTTATTTGGTAAATATGCATACAAGAATTTATAACTACCGCTAGGGCTTAGTGGTATTTATACTTCAGAGTTCTGGCCTATTTAAAAACTGAATAAACATTTAAATCAGTCTTTGCAACTGGTGACATTGAAATGAGGGAATTTTCTGGGGAAAGAATGTCATGTTTCTCAAGTGAAGATTTGCCTTCAAACTCAGGATGGCGACTTTTGTTATGTTGTTGCTGGCACTGCTTCCTGAAATGACATGCAAGACTCACATTGTGAAGTGTCATGTCCATGATCCACACCCTCCACTTCACAAGTATCACCAGTCAGGAGACCTCATCCTTGGTGGCTTAGCTTCTCACAGCTTCATCATTTCCAATGCATTAGCCTTCACTATAGAACCCCCACAGGCATTGCCCGAAGAGCTTGCGTAAGGAGTTGCTCTTTCTTTTATCTCTTTCTGTTTTTCTGAGTTTCTTTCTCTGAATACTGAAAGTCGTGGCATACTGATTTTCAACAAAGAAAAATATAAATAATGCAATTAAGGATATGTTCCTTGTTCCCAATAACAAAATAATAGAACATAATAAAGATAAATTTCTTTCACTGACTTTTATTGGCTTGCATAGCCTAGCTTCATATCTATTAATTTTGAAATCTGTTGTCATCCATCTTATCATGGAAATGAATCTCAGTGATGTGTGATGGATTTTGTTTTCTTCATTTATATGTTCCAGAGTTCTTAAAATGTTTTTAACACATAAAAGAGGGCAAAAGGACTAAAAAACAACAACAACCAAGCAAGCAATTTAATACACAACTCTGGACTGCATCCTCAAGTGTGGTTTAAAATACTGTACTATTTGATGATGCAAACATTGATGAGAATGCAATAATTGTGATTTATAAAATGAGATGTATCTTTTTGATACAGAGTGCAATTCTTGTTTCAGAGTAGTGACTAAGAATTACCAGCACATTCTAGCCTTGGGATTTGCAGTGAAGGAGATAAATGACAACCCTCAGATCTTACCCAATACCACCTTGGGCTTCCACATATTTGACAGCTATTTCATTGCAAAAGGGACTTATCATGCTACAATGCTGCTAACGTCCAGCCCAAACAGATTGGTCCCCAACTACAAATGCGACATCCATCATCATTTGATAGCAGTCATTGGGGGACTGGACCCCCTAACCTCTCTTCATGCTGCAACAGTCTTGGATATCTATAAAATTCCACAGGTATAATGTGTCCATCTCTGTGCGGAGCATCATGGATTTAAGGTTGTTGTTTTCCTCCCATTGTTGCTTTGTTTGCTATATTTCGCTCTGTGGTTCAGAGGCCAAAATATGTGAACTGGTGTGGTGAATAAAGCATAAGCTTAAATACCACAGCAAGACTCTTATACAGGGGAAGCAATTTGAATTTATTGATACAATTTGGGGGAAACCAAATAAATACTTTTTAATTTGCAGAGAGGATAATGATGCAGGCAGTTTCCCAAACAGTCACCAACCTTTTGGGGAAATTTTTACAAAAGTCTCAGCTTTATTGGCCGAGGGAGTTGTAAATGTCATTGCCTCACACATTTAAATATGAGGGTTGATTTTTCTGATGGTGTGCGGTGGGAGTTGAAAATGGCAGCTTTTGGATTGTTCTTCGCAAAAGTGGAGTAAAATATTATGGAGCATAAATCCCATCAAAGAACACTTTGATGAGAATTCATGAGGCTATGGTAAAATTAACCCACCTGCGACATTTAATTCTACTAGACTGTACTACATAAATTTGATGTTATGCCCACATTGTGTTCACAGGAATGCAGGCAGAAAGGTGTATTTATGTCTTTATGAAGGCAGTGTGCATTTGCTAAGGATTTGTGGTGCCATAGAAAAGGCTCAACATGGGCATGCAAAATGTGGGCAGAATGGTGTCTGTGTGCCTTTATGCCGGGAGTACAAGTCCATGTTATAACAGAAGCTGGGAAATCTGTTTTGACTGAAAAATAAAGCTACAGCAATGTAGAGTGCCCAGGGTTTAAATACAGTAGGACACTTCTTTTCTTGGAAATATGGTACCATTTTTCCTCTACTTTATCAACTTAGTGACAGTCATCACCCTCAAATTTTCAGTTTTATTTGGGGGGAGTACCCTATATTGGCTACAGCAACACATATGACTCCAGATGTATTTCAGTATTATTACTTTCTGGATCGTATTGAGTAATGGAGCAACACAGTCCTTACTCTATAACCCATGAGTTTGTAGTATTGTTTATTCTTTTGGTGTACATATTAAACTGTTGAATAAAAATGACTTAATATATCCATAAAATCATGTTTATTCTTTCGCTTTTCTGCAATCCCTTTTAGCTCATATATGGCCCTGCTCCAGTCATGGAGGATAAAACTCTAGGCCTTTCCTTCTACCAAATGGTCCCACAGGAAGCCTTGCAGTATGAGGGGATTCTCTCCTTACTTCGGCATTTCAGGTGGACCTGGGTTGGACTCCTTACCATGGATCTTGAGAATAGAGAAAGATTTGTGCAAACTGTGGTTCCAATGTTTTCTTCTAGTGGCATTTGTTTTGCCTTTATAGAGAGAGTATCCAAATTATCTCTTGTCACTGATCTTAAAGACTTATTCCAACAGGCTGCAAAAATACGTGATAAAGTAATGAGTAGCAAAGCCAACGTGATGATCATCTATGGAGAATCTTATTCTATGATATTTCTGAGATGGCTTCCGTATTTATCTGAGCAAGAACATGTGAAAATTAACCCAAAGGGTACAGTGTGGATATTGACAGCCCAGGTGGAGCTGACTTCTCTCGTTTATCAAAGGACTTGGGATAAAGAAATAATCCACGGGGCTCTGTCCTTCGCAATTCACTCCAATGATATATCAGGATTTCAGCAATTTACTGCCAGTAGAAAACCTGCCACCTCAAAAGAAGATTATTTCATCAAGGACTTCTGGCAGCAGGCCTTTGCCTGTTCATTTCCAGGTACAGTCGCAGAAGATGTGGATGGGGATATCTGCACCGGAGATGAGAACGTGGGGACTCTTCCTGGGCCTTTCTTCGAAATGAACATGATTGGCCATAGCTATAGTATCTACATGGCTGTTTATGCCATGGCACATGCTGTTCATGACATGTTCTCATGGAGACTGAAATCAAGAATGTTAAAGGACCAAGGGCAGTTGTCATTTCAAAATCAACAGCCATGGCAGGTAATGAAGCCAATTTTCTCTTCCAGTAGAGCACCATATCATGGGTGTCAAATAGTCCATGACTCATTTAATTAATTATCTCCCTGATTTCTGTTTCTTTTTTTCTGTTCTTTAGTGAGACTATTGCCACTGAATATATTTGTTAGACTGATACACAGTCTCTTCTTCTGATTTTCTTTTTAAAATATAGCTCCATCATTTCCTCAGAGGTGTATTATTTAATAATAGTGCTGGAGATGAGGTTTCCTTTAACCAGAATGGGGAGTTGAAAGTTGGGTTGGATGTTATTAATTGGATTGTTCCCTAAACCAATCCTTTCATAAAATTAAAGTTGGGAGGATGGATCCCCAGACTTCTTCACATCAAGTGTTCACCATCCATGAAGACGCTATAACGTGGCAAAGGCGGTTTAACAAGGTAGGGAGATTTCCAGTTTGGAATGAACATTGACTTCCATACAGTTTGTAAAGATCGTTTCACTTGACCACAATGTTTTTGTGATGTATGAAAAATTCTGGAACTGGTTAGGAAATAACACTTCATGAATTTATTAACTGGGGCAGTGTTCTAGATTTTATTTATTGAGAAATTGTTGTATGAGCTAAATATATTCATATTTTGTTTTAAACATATGTCAAATAATGATCACTAGCTGAGTTCCAAAGTTAGTCATGCACATTGATTTCACTGAGTCAGCTCAGAGCACTCCGTCTTTGAATATCACTTAAGATCGTTTTCATTTGAAACCTTCGAAATTCCATCAATAGGACCAAAGTATATGTAACCTTTATCCATTTTGTTTATGAAATAATCTTCAGCGGCATGGTTGAAATCAGCTCTGAACAAAGTGAGAAAACAAGGTAGAATCACCTCTTTTGTTCCCCATCAAGTGGAAAACTTCATTTCCTGCTTGCCTCTATCAAACCAGATCTTCACTATTTAGCACACTAACTCTGCCCTCTAACTAATGAACAATAAAAAGTCAATTAGAAGCATTTATTTTTACTTCTTCCCTCCTCAAACAAGGAAATCCATTAGAATGCTTCCCCTGTCCTCTACCTTTCGGTTAAAAAAAAGAAATAAAATTAAGCTCGCTCTTTCTATCTTTCTCTCGCTCACTCTCTCACTCTTTCTCACAGACACAAACACAAGCTAGGGAAGGGATGATCTATGCAAATTTGCAAAGAGGACCAATCATCTGAAGAACGGATGGGTCTAATTTGCTTATTGTGGGCAGTCAAAACCCTGCCATGAAACTGCTTTTTTCTTGTTGTGCCTTTGAGGCTTCTCCTGCTTTAGCCTTCTAAGAGAGTAAAAGGAGCATGACAATTGCTATGCCTGTCATACTTTAAGGCCTTTCCTTTCATTAAGTATCTTCCCTCTCTGCAGACAAAGTTGGAATCTGCTGCTCATGGTTTTTATTACTGGATGTTAGACATGAACATCTAGAAAACATCTCAGTTACAGAAAATGTATTAATGTGATTGTGGGTGACAGGAGAAAGCCTGAACCATCCTTGGTGATTGGGGTGGGAGTTGGAATCTTGTCAGGTCTCTGCCCACTTTGCCAATAATAGGGGTCTTCTCTACAGGAACCATAAAGATTCCCAGCTCTATATTTTCTTTTGTTTCATGGATTAGGCAAGGCCTATTTCTGTATGCAGTGAGAGTTGCAGCCCTGGTTCAAGCAAGAAAATGAAGGAGGGGGAGCCATTTTGTTGCTACGATTGCACTCCCTGTCCAGAAGAGAAGATTTCAGACCAGATGGGTAAGCAATATCACATACAGAAATAGGAAGCAGATGGCCAGTGATTCAGAGGAATGGGAATAAACATAAATATATGCATGCAATATGGTTACCAGTTTTATTGTTTAAAAAAAAGGAAGAAGAAAGATTTACTTATTGAATTTATATACCGCCCTATAACCAAAGGTCTCTTTCTTTTTTCCTTTTACTTTTTTAAAAAAATTCCCTATCGCTTTGTATTTTTAAGAAATATCTCAAAGCGTTTTACAGCATATTAAATCAATAAAAGGATTCCAGGTGGAATCCTTTCCAGGTGGAAAGGGCCTTGCAGGGGGCGGCCTTCACGCCTCACGCCTTCTTCACCCTCTGTCCTTTTCTCCTCCAGTTGCTGGAGGGAGAGAGAGAGAGGTGTGACATTAAAAGAGAGCACAATGTATTCATTGAGAAGAAGGGTTACATTTTAATTCACCTTAGATTAAGAATTTTTTTAAAGAAAAGGCATAAAGTGTAAAGAAAAAGAAAAACCACAGAATTTTTTAAGGAAATGTCTTGAATATCCATGATAAACTGCTTGGCAGATGAAAATCAGCACCTGGTGTAACATTGTCCTTGGTAAAGCACTACATTTGAGGTTTTATTGTATATATTTAAAAATGCCCAATTCTCATAGATTAATCATTGCTTAGAGTCTGTTGGGATGACAGGACTACGTAAACTTTAATCTATGCAAGATTAGCGTGGATTGTATTGTTTGGAACACCAATATAAACCTGATAACTCATTGCTTCTTCTTCAGATATGAATGACTGTTTTAAATGTCCAGATGAATATTATCCCAACAAAAAACAGGATCTGTGTATTCTGAAGGAAATCAGCTTCTTGTCTTATGAAGAACCTTTGGGGATCAGTTTAGCCTCTTTTTCGCTTTCCTCTTCAATCATCACAGCTCTGGTGCTAGGGACGTTTCTGAAGCACCACAACACTCCCATTGTCAAAGCCAACAACCGGGATCTCACCTACATGCTCCTCCTCTCCCTCCTGCTCTGCTTCCTTTGTGCATTGCTATTCATTGGACAGCCTCAGAAGGTGACATGTCTTCTGCGACAACCTGTTTTTGGCATCATCTTCTCAGTGGCTGTTTCTTGTGTGCTGGCACAAACAATCACTGTGATTCTGGCTTTCATGGCCACCAAACCAGGATCCAGGATGAGGAAATGGGTGGGGAAGAGGCTGGCCAACTCCATCGTGATTTCCTGCTCCTTTATTCAAGCAACCATTTGTATTATGTGGTTGGCATTTTCTCCCCCATTCCCAGATGTCGATAAGCACTCTATTTATGGAGAGATTGTTCTAGAATGCAACGAGGGTTCTGTAACTATGTTTTACTGTGTCCTGGGTTACATGGGCTTTCTGGCTATGGCCAGTTTCAGTGTGGCTTTCCTTGCCAGGAAGTTGCCTGACAGTTTCAATGAAGCCAAGTTCATCACTTTCAGCATGTTGGTCTTTTGCAGTGTTTGGTTATCCTTCATTCCCTCCTACCTGAGCACTAAAGGAAAATACATGGTAGCTGTCGAGATCTTTTCTATCCTAGCCTCCAGTGCTGGGGTGCTGGGGTGCATCTTTTCCCCTAAATGTTATATCATTGTTTTAAGGCCTGGACTGAATGATAGGGAACAACTGATAAGACGAAAGGCTGGATGAATGTGCGGGTGGGTTTTGCTCTAGTCTGCACAACCAATGGATATTTGTTTTTTTGGGTGTTTATGAATTATTTTCTTGGTAAATTCGTTCTATTTCAATTTTCTTTGGACCTCTCTATCTTTTAAACATATATAGACACTCTCTTTCCTAAAATACAAAACGGTTGCAGTCTGTAGCAAGATCTCCTTATGTATAAACATGTGGCCATACACTTGAATTATTTAGCGCAAGTCATCTCGAAACCCAAGGACCTAAAACACATCTTGATCAGAGTTGTGCAACTTATACTCTAAGAGTAAGGGCTTAGAGACTTCAGCCAAATATTGCACGGCATGATTATATAGGATTTTGCCTGGTGCCTAAAGATATATAATAACGGTACCAGGTGAGCCACCCTGGGAGAGGACTCCACAATCTGGGAACCACAGCAGAAAAGGCCTGTTCTCATGTTGCCACCTTCTGGACCTCTTGTGGAGCAGGCACAGGAAGAAGGGCCTCAGATGATGAGCACATGGTCTGGGTCAGTTCATTTGGGGAGGGGCAGTCCTTTTGACATTGTGGTTCTGAGCAACTGAAGGCTTAATAGGTCAAAACCATTACTTTTATTTGGCCTGGGAAAACAGTGTAATTGTGCCAGGATTGGTATTATATGCTCAAACTTTGCAAGAAAGTTTCTTCCACCAGTGAGAAACCTGGGTACTGAATTCTACACCAGCTGTAGTTTCCAAACCATCTTCAGAGGCAGCCCCACATATAACACTTTGCAATAATCTAACTTACAAGTTACCAAAGCATAGACGAATTACATTAGGCCTTACTTGTCCAGCCACCAAGACCACCTGAGCTTCAAGTGACAGCAGTGAATTGATAATTATTCCCAGGTTGTGTACAATTCCCTTCAGAGGGAGTGTAAAAATCAAGAGCAGGCCACCTTCAATCCATACAGTCTAAGGAGCCCCCCGCTAATGTCCTGCAATGGTAGATATGCCATACACTAGCTCTTCAAATACACTAAGAATTGCATTACATGGTAAAGAAATATGGGCCACAAAGGCTGCAGATTAGAAGAAACCCAGAAGATCTCAAATTCATAGAGTAAGCAGTAGTATAATCACCTGGTGCTAAGCACTAAGGCAAACACAGTGACTTGCTGGGTTGTCAACTCTCAAGGCTCCAGAGCTCTGGTGGAATCCTCATTAACTTGTGCATGGTGCCCCGTGCCCAGAACTGTTCCTACTGAAACAGAGAGGGTACTTCATTATACAATTTTCAGCAGTTGCTGGTCTCATCTCTTTACCCTGGCTTTCGACACTTGATATGCCAATTTCTATCACCCCCATATTTACTAAATGCTAAGTTGTTTAAAATACTGCTTCATTTGTTGTAACCCACCCCTGAGTGGGAGGACAGGTAATGTAATAGAGGGAGCAAGCAAAACCCTTGTGAAGCTACAGACATGGGCAAGCTTCTTGGGACCCTACATCAGTGCCCTCTCTGTCTTCCCAAAGGCTAAAGGGTTCTTTCTCTGGCATTCAGAAGCAAGACAACAAACAAGTGGCAAAGGAGGGATTTGAGGCTACAGATTAAATAGACTCAGCAGCTGGGTTGCTACCAATTAGGCCTTGCTCTTCTAAAAGTAAGACTCGCTCTGCCTTCCAACTTCATTGATGAGCCCGCCCACCACATTTCCACCACATTTCCTAATTAGAAAATTCCTCCCTCCCCAAAAGCTGGGGTATGTGTTGGTAGGTAAAGGTAAAGGGACCCCTGACCATTAGGTCCAGTCGTGGCTGACTCTGGGGTTGCGGAGTTCATATCACTTTACAGGCAGAGGGAGCTGGCATTTATCCACAGACAGTTTTTTCGGGTCATGTGGCCAGCATGACTAAGCCACTTCTGGCAAACCAGAGCATCTCATGGAAACGCCGTTTACCTTCCCGCCGGGGCGGTACCTATTTATCTACTTGCTTTCAAAGTGCGAGGTTGGCAGGAGCAGGGACCGAGCAACTGGAGCTCACCCCGTCACGGGGATTCGAACCGCCGACCTTCTGATCGGCAAGTCCTAGGCTCTATGGTTTAACCCACAGCGCCACCCGCGTCCCTATGGGTTAGTAAGTTGCCTTTAAATCTTCAGCACAGTGCTCCTAATACAAGTTTAAGGGTACATGAACGCCAAACTATGATGTTATACGTCTGAAGCCTTGGTGCCTCCCTCATCCAAGCCAAAGTATCATTTGATACTCAATGAGGCGGAAGGTGTGGCAGAATCTTCAAATGTAACAAACAAGTTTCCTCCTGCAATTACACAGAGAAATCCCAACGTTGACTTTGTAATTATTTTCCTCTGTCATTACAGCAAAGACTATTATTAATTTTGTTGCACGCTGAAACCCCTGTGGAATTCGAATAGGAAATAAAAAAAGAAAGTTGTTATTTGGTAAATATACACACAAGAATTCATAACTACCGCTAGGGCTTAGTGGTATTTATACTTCAGAGTTCTGGTCTATTTAAAAACCGAATAAACATTTAAATCAGCCTTTGCAACTGGTGACATTGAAATAAGGGAGTTTTCTGTGGAAAGAGTGTCATGTTTCTCAAGTGAAGATTTGCCTTCACACTCAGGATGGCGACTTTGCTTATGTTGCTGCTGGCACTGCTTCCTGAAATGACATGCAAGACTCACATTGTGAAGTGTCATGTCCATGATCCACACCCTCCACTTCACAAGTATCACCGGTCAGGAGACCTCATCCTTGGTGGATTAGCTTCTCACAGCTTCATCATTTCCAATGCATTAGCCTTCACTAAAGAACCCCCACAGGCATTGCCTGAAGAGCTTGCGTAAGGAGTTGCTCTTTCTTTTATCTCTTTCTGTTTTTCTTAGCTTCTTTCTCTGCATATTGAAAGCTAGGGCATATGGATTTATAAACATAGAAAGTATAAAGAATGCAATTAAGGATATGTCCCTTGTTCCCCATAGCAGGATAATAGAATATGATAAATATAAATTTCTTTCACTGACTAATATAGGCTTGCATAGACTAGTTCCATATCTATTTTGAAATCTGTTGTGGTCCACCTTAACAGGGAAAGGAATCTCAGTGATATGTGATAGATTTTGTATTCTTCCTTTATATGTTCCAGAGTTTAAAAAATGTTTTTAACACATAAAAGGGGTTAACAGGATTACTAAAAACAAAAGCCAACAATTTTGTAAACTACCCTGGACTGCATCCACAAGTGTGGTTTAAAATACTGTACTATTTCATAAAGCAAACAATGATGAGAATGCAATAATTGTGATTTATAAAATGAGAGATATCTTTTTGATACAGAATGCAATTCGTATTTCAGAGTAGTGACTAAGAATTACCAGCACATCCTAGCCTTGGAATTTGCAGTGAAGGAGATCAATGACAACCCTCAGATCTTACCCAATACCACCTTGGGCTTCCACATATTTGACAGCTATTTCATTGCAAAAGGGACCTATCATGCCACAATGCTGCTAACGTCCAGCCCAGACAGATTGGTCCCCAACTACAAATGTGACATCCATCATCATTTGATAGCAGTCATTGGGGGGCTGGATCCCCTAACCTCTCTTCATGCTGCAATAGTTTTGGATATCTATAAAATTCCACAGGTATAATGTATACATCTCTGTGCTGAGCATCATGGATTTAAAGTTGTTGTTTTACTTTCATGGTTGCATTGCCTGCCATATTTCACCTTGTGGTGCAGAGGCCAAAATATGTGAACTGGTGTGGTGAATAAAGCATAAGCTTCAATACCACAGCAAGACCCCTATACACGGGATACGATTTTGAATTTATTGATACAATTTGGAAAAACACACACGAAATAAATACTTTTTATTTGAAGAGAGACCAATTATGCAGGTTGATTTTCATTCAGTCACCAATCTTTTGGGGGGAAATGTACAAAAGTCTCAGGGTTGTAAACATCATTGCCTCACAAATTTAATACAAGGAGATAGAAATGATGGTGATTGAGTGGGAGTTGAAAATGGCAGCTTTTGGATTGTGCTTCTCAGAAATGGAACAAAAAGTTATGGAGCATAAATTCCATCAAAGGAAAATTTAGATGAGAATTCATGGGACTATGCTAAAATTAACCCACATGTGGTACTGAATATCTACTAGACTTTACTACATGAGGTTGATGTTATGCCCACATTGTGTTCGCAGGAATGAAGGCAGAAGGGTGTATGTATGTCTTTATGAAGGAAATTTGCATTTACTAAGGATTTGTGGTGCCGTACCATAGGATCAACACGTGCATGCATAATGTTGGCAGAAGGTTGTCTGTATGCCTTTATGCCGGGAGTACAAGCCCATGTTATAACAGAAGCTGGGAAATCTATTTTGACTGAAAAAGAAAGCTACAGCGATGTTGAGTGTCCAGGGTTGAAATACAGCAGGACACTTATTTTCTTGGAAACATGGTACCTTTTTTGTTCTTCTTTATAGTGACAGTCTTCAGCCTCCAATTTTCACTTTTATTTGGTGTGTACGCTTAATTGGCTACAGTAACACAAAAGACTCAAGAAGTATTTCAGTATTATTTTCAGCATCTTGTATTGAGTGAGGGAGCAACATGGTCCTTACTCAAAAGGTAACTTGAAATGTTGAATAAAAATGACTGAATATATTCATAAAACTATTCCTATTCTTTCTTTTTCTTCTGCAATCCATTTTAGCTCATATATAGTCCGGCTCCAGTCATGGAGGATAAAACTCCAGGCCTTTCCTTCTACCAAATGGTCCCAAAGGAAGCCCTTCAGTATGAGGGGATTCTCTCCTTACTTCTGCATTTCAGGTGGACCTGGGTTGGACTCCTTACCATGGATCTTGAGAACGGAGAAAGATTTGTGCAAGCCGTGGTTCCCATGTTTTCTTCTAGTGGCATTTGTTTTGCCTTTATTGAGAGAGTATCCAAATTATCTCTTGTCACTGATCTTAAAGACTTATTACAGCAGGGTGCAAAAATATATGATAAAATAATGAGTAGCAAAGCCAATGTGATGATCTTCTATGGAGAATCTTATTCTATGATATTTCTGAGATGGCTTCCATATTTATCTGAGCAAGAACATGTGAAAATTAACCCAAAGGGTACAGTGTGGATATTGACAGCCCAGGTGGAGCTGACTTCTCTCGTTTATCAAAGGACTTGGAATAAAGAAATAATCCACGGGGCTCTGTCCTTCGCAATTCACTCCAATGATATATCAGGATTTCAACAATTTACTGCCGGCAGAAAACCTGCCACCTCAAAAGAAGATTATTTCATCAAGGATTTCTGGCAGCAGGCATTTGCCTGTTCATTTCCAGGTACAGGTGCAGAAGATATGGATGGGGATATCTGCACCGGAGATGAGAACGTGGGGACTCTTCCTGGGCCTTTCTTTGAATTGAACATGATTGGCCACAGCTATAGTATCTACATGGCTGTTTATGCCATGGCACATGCCGTTCATGACATGATCTCATGGAGACTGAAATCAAGAATGTTAAAGGACCAAGGGCAGTTGTCATTTCAAAATCAACAGCCATGGCAGGTAATGAAGCCAATTTTCTCTTCCAGTAGAGCACCATATCATGGGTGTCAAATAGTCCATGACTCATTTAATTAATTATCTCCTGATTTCTGTTTCTTTTTTATGTTGGTTAGTGAGACTATTGCCACTGAATATATTTGTTAGACTGATACACATCCTCTTCTTCTGATTTCCTTTTTCAAATATAGTTCCATCATTTCCTCAGAGGTGTATTATTTAATAATAGTGCTGGAGATGAGGTTTCCTTTAACCAGAATGGGGAGTTGAAAGTTGGGTTGGATGTTATTAATTGGATTGTTTCCCTAAACCAATCCTTTCATAAAATTAAAATTGGGAGGATGGATCCCCAGACGTCTTCGCATCAAGTGTTCACCATCCATGAAGACGCTATAACATGGCAAAGGCGGTTTAACAAGGTAGGAAGATATCCAGTTTGGAATGAACATTGACTTCAGTACTGTTTGTAAACATCATTTCACTTGAGCGCAATGATTTTGTGATGTATGAATAATTCTTGAACTGGTCAGGGAAATAACACTTCATGAACTTATTCACCACGGTAGTGTTACAGATAATTATTTTTTTAAGATTTATTTTTTTGAGAAATTGATAGATGAACTAAATATATTCATCTTTTGCTTTGAATATATGTCAAATGATGATCTTTGGTTGAGAGCCAAAGTTTGTCATGCACATTGATTTCATTGTATCAGTTCAGAGCACTCCATCTTTGAATATCACTTAAGATCATTTTCATTCAAAACATTCAAAATTCCATCAATAAGACCAAAGTACAGTAGTACCTCGAGTTACAAACTTCGCCCCAGGATGAGAACGGAAATTGTGTGCCGCGTTTTGGCGGCAGAGGGAGGCCCCATTAGCGAAAGCGGACCACTGGTTAAGAACGGACGTCCAGAACGAATTAAGTTCATAACCCGAGGAACCCCTGTATATGTAACCTTTATTCATTTTATTTATGAAATAATCTTCGGCAGTGTGGTTGAAACCAGCTCTATGAAAATGAAGGAAGTGAGAAAACCAGGTAGAATCTCCTCTTTTGTTCCCCACCTTTCCATCAAGTGGAAAACATTATTTCTTGCTTGCCTCTATCAAACCAGAACTTCACTATTTAGAACACTAACTCTATCATCTTCCTAATGCCCAATGAAAAAGGCAATTACAAGCATTTCTTTTTACTTCTTTCCTTCTCAAACAAGAAACCAATTTAGAATTCTTCTCCTGTCCTGTACCTTTTGGTTAAAAAAGGAAATACAGTCAATCTCTTTCTCTCTCTCTCTCTCTCTCTCTCTCTCACACACACACACACACACACAAAAACACACACACACACACACACACACACAGAGAGAGAGAGACAAACACAAGCTAGGGATGGGATGATCTATGCAAATTAGCAAAGAGCAACCATCATATGAAGAATGGATGGTTCTGATTTGCTTATGGTGAGCAGTCAAAAGCCGGCCCTGCAACTGCTTTTTTGTTTGTTTGTGTGCCTTTGAGGCTTCTCCTGCTTTACCTTCTAAGAGAGTAAAAGGAGCAGACAATTGCTATGCCTATCATACTTTAAGGCCTTTCCTTTCATTGTGTCTTCCCTCTCTGCAGACAAAGTTGGAATCTGCTGCTCGTGGTTTTTATTACTGGATGTTAGACATGAACATCTAGAAAACATCTCAGTTACAGAAAATTTATTAATGTGATTGTGGGTGACAGGAGAGAGCCTGAACCATCCTTGGTGATTGGGGAGGGACTTGGAATCTTGTCAGGTCTCTGCCCACTTTGCCAATAATAGGGGTCTTCTCTACAGGAACCATAAAGATTCCCAGCTCTATATTTTCTTTTGTTTCATGGATTAGGCAAGGCCTATTTCTGTCTGCAGTGAGAGTTGCAGCCCTGGTTCAAGCAAGAAAATGAAGGAGGGGGAGCCATTTTGTTGCTACGATTGCACTCCCTGTCCAGAAGAGAAGATTTCAGACCAGATGGGTAAGCAATATCACATACAGAAATAGGAAGCAGATGGCCAGTAATTCAGAGGAAGGGGAATAAGCATAAATATATGCATACAATATGGTTACAGGTTTTATTCTTTTTGGGGGGGGAATGGTAAATCTGAGTGATGCAGAGGGCCTTGTTGAAGATGCAAAAATCCAACCTGGTTTCCTTGGTGGAATAATTTGACCTTGTGCTGAATGTGAGCTGATCAGTCCGCGGCCTCCTTGCCTCATCTTCATCCCGTGATCTCAGAACAGGCAAAAAGAGGGGTTGGTTTTACCTGTCTTCCTTGTATGAGTTTCTGTGTTTATAAACAATCTCCTCCTTGAAGTCTCATTCAGATCCACAAATGCAGCGTGGCTAATAGTTTATCTGCTCAACTATAGGGAAATTGAGATGGGCTTGCAAGATTATGGCCTCTGTGGTTGATATTCACCTTCCCCAATCCTGTTGTCTCGTAATAGGAGAAAAAGGGGTTTGGCTTCTGGAAACTCTGTTTATATAAAATACACAATCACATATAAAATTTTTACATTTACACACACACACACACACACACACACACACACATTTTCCTTCTGACATACCCTGCCTCTCAGCCTCTGGGTTCTCACCTAGGATCCATACAAACTCTCAGCTCAACTAAAAAAGTCTAGCAATGAGAAGAGTTCCTGGAAACAGTGGACATCACCCTAGCCTCTTGTTTCTTATGGGCAGGCACAGGGGAATTGGTTCTTCCTCAGGCTGCCTTCCCCTGCGTCCCATTCAGCTGCACACCCACTTCCAGGAGCAACAGGTTTGTTGAGTTTCCCAGGTGGTCCAAAGGGTGGGGAAAGGGACCTCTTCACTCGCACTGCATTGATTGACTGATTGATTGATTGAATGAATCTGTACACCCCCCTATACCCAGAGGTTTCTTTCTTTCTTTCTTTCTTTCTTTCTTTCTTTCTTTCTTTCTTTTATTTTTCTGTACCGCTTTATATTTTTAAGAAAAATCTCAAAACGCTATACAGCTTATTAAATCAATAAAACATAAATAAAACAATCTGAACAAAGTCAAATATAGAGTATGAAGTCAAAGAAACATAACAGAAAACTAAAATATTATCTTAATGATTTCAAAGAAAACATTTCAAAGGAGGTCAACTACAGAATACATATTTAACACAGCTGGGTGAATGTGGACCCCACCTCCTAGGCCAGGTGGAAAGGGCCTTGCAGGAAGCAGCCTTCTTGCCTTCATCACCCTCTGTCCTTTTCCCCTCCAGCTGCTGGAGGGAGAGAGAGAGAGGTGTGACATCATGAGAGAGCACAATGTATTAGTTGAGAAGCAAGTTTACATTGTAATTCACTTTAGATTAAGATTATTTTTTTTAATGGCATAAAGTGTAAAGCAAAACAAAAAAGAGCAGAATGCTTTAATGAAATGTCTTGAACCTTTATGATAAACTTCCTTGGCAGAGGAAAATCAGGACCTGGTGTAACATTGTCCTTGGTAAAGCACTACATTTGAGGTTTAGTTGTATATATTCAAAAATGCCCAAATCTCGTAGATAAATGATTGCTTGGAGTCTGTTGGGATGACAGGACTACATAAACTTTAATCTATGCAAGATTAGCATGGATTGTATGGTTTGAGACACCAATATAAACCTCATAACCCATTGCTTCCTCTTCAGATATGAATGACTGTTTTAAATGTTCAGATGAATATTATCCCAACAAAAAACAGGATCTGTGTATTCTGAAGGAAATCAGCTTCTTGTCTTATGAAGAACCTTTGGGGATCAGTTTAGCCACTTTTTCGCTTTCCTCTTCAATCATCACAGCTCTGGTGCTAGGGACGTTTCTGAAGCACCACAACACTCCCATTGTCAAAGCCAACAACCGGGATCTCACCTACATGCTCCTCCTCTCCCTCCTGCTCTGCTTCCTTTGTGCATTGCTATTCATTGGACAGCCTCAGAAGGTGACATGTCTTCTGCGACAACCTGTTTTTGGCATCATCTTCTCAGTGGCTGTTTCTTGTGTGCTGGCAAAAACAATCACAGTGATTCTGGCTTTCATGGCCACCAAACCAGGATCCAGGATGAGGAAATGGGTGGGGAAGAGGCTGGCCAACTCCATCGTGATTTCCTGCTCCTTTATTCAAGCAACCATTTGTATTATGTGGTTGGCATTTTCTCCCCCATTCCCAGATGTCGATAAGCACTCAACTTATGGAGAAATTGTTCTAGAATGCAATGAGGGTTCTGTAACTATGTTTTACTGTGTCCTGGGTTACATGGGCTTTCTGGCTATGGCCAGTTTCAGTGTGGCTTTCCTTGCCAGGAAGTTGCCTGACAGTTTCAATGAAGCCAAGTTCATCACTTTCAGCATGTTGGTCTTTTGCAGTGTTTGGTTATCCTTTATTCCCTCCTACCTGAGCACTAAAGGAAAATATATGGTAGCTGTGGAGATCTTTTCTATCTTAGCCTCCAGTGCTGGGGTGCTGGGGTGCATCTTTTCCCCTAAATGTTACATCATTGTTTTAAGGCCTGAATTGAACGATAAGGAACAGCTTATAAGAAGAAAGGCTGGATGAATGTGTGGGTGTGTTTTGCTGTAGTCTCCAAAACCAATGCATATTTGTTTTTTTGGGTGTTTATGAATTATTTTCCTGGTAAATGTGTTCTATCTCAATTTTCTTTGGACCTCTCTATCTTTTAAACATATATAGACACTCTCTTTCCTAAAACCCCAAACCCTTGCACTCTGTAACCAGACCTCCTTATGTATATACATGTTTCCATAAACCTGAATTATTTAGAGCAAGTCATCTTGAAACCCATGAACCTAAAACACATCTTGATCAGAGTTGTGCAACTTATACTCTAAGAGTAAGGGCTTAGAGAATTTAGTCAAACAATGAATGTGCATGGCCTGGTTATGTAGGAAAAATTTGCCTGGTGCCTAAAGATATATAATGACAGTAGCAAGTGAGACACCCTAGGGGGAGCACTCCACAATCTGGGAACCACTGCAGAAATGGCCTGTTCTCATGTTGCCACCCTCTGGACCTCTTGTGGAGCAGGCACAGGAAGAAGGGCCTCAGATGATGAGCACACGGTCTGGGTCAGTACATTTGGGGAGAGGCAGTCCTTGTGGCATTGTGGTCCTGAGAAACTGAAGACTTTATAGTTCAAAACCAGCACTTTTATTTGTCCTGGAAACCAATGGGCAGCCAGGGCAGTTGTGCCAGGATTGGTGTTATATGCTCAAACTTTATTGCACCGGTGAGCAACCTGGCCACTGAATTCTACAACAGATGTCGTTTCCAAACCATCTTCAGAGGCAGCCCCACATATAACACATTGCTATAATCTAACCTACAAGTTACCAGAGCATAGACAGAATATCTCAACAGTGACTTGCTGGGTTGTCAACTCTCATGGCTCCAGAGCTATGGTGGGATCCTCATTAACTTGTGCATGGTGCCCAGTGCCAAATCACTGAACTGTTCCAACTGAAACAGAGAGGGCACTTCATTATACAACTTCTAGCAGTTGCTGAAGTGTCACCTATTTGCCCTGGCTTTCGGCACTTGATGCCCATTTCTATTAACCCCTGATTTATTAAATGTTAAGTTTAAATACTGCTTCAATTGTTGTAAACCACCCCTGGGACCTTAGAGTGAAGGACAGATAATAAATTATGGTAATAACAGGAACAAGCAAAACCCTTCAGAAGTTGCTGGCAGAGGCAACCTTCTGCGGACCGCGCATCAGTGCCCTATTTGTCTTGCCAAAGGCTCAGGGGTTCTTGTTCTGGCATTCAGAAGCAAGAAAAGACACAAGTGGTGAAGGAGGGATTTGAGGCTACAGATTGAAAGGACTCAGCAGCCGGATTGCTGCCAATTAGGCTTTGCTCTTCTAAAAGTAAAGGAATCACTCTGCCCTCCAACTTCATTGATGAACCCTCCCACCACATTTCTGCCACAGTCCCTTTTACAAAGTGTCCCCTCCCACAACCTGCAGTATGTGCTATTAAGTTGCCTTCAAATCTTCAGCATAGTGCTCCTAAAACATGTTTAAGTGTACATTAACTCCATACTATGATGTTGTACGTCTGAAACCTTGCTGCCTTCCTCACCAAGCCAAAGCATCATTTGATGATCAGCTAGGTGGAAGGCATCGGGGAATCTTCAGATGTAACAAACAAGTTACCTTCTGCAATTACACAGAGGAACCCCAAACTTGACTTTGCAATTATTTCCCTCTGTCATTACAGCAATGATTATAATTAATTATGTTGCATGCTGAATCCCTGTGGAATTCAAGCAGGAAAGAAATGAAAGTTGTTATTTAGTAAATATACCCATTAGAATGTATAACTACTACTAGGTGGTATTTATAGATTGAAATACTGGAATCTGTGTCCAGAATTATTTGTACTGAGAATGAAGGTAGTAATGGTGTTGCCATTGATACTGATGCTGCCTCGGACAGTATGTAAGGCTTCTGTTGCTAAATGCAGGATCCAGCATCCTCAACCCTTTTTTCACCAGTATTACCAGCAGGAAGATCTAATTTTGGGTGGCATTGTTACTCAGAATATTGTTAAGGAATCTCATATCCAGTTCTTCAAGAGGGATCCTATTGAGACTGAATTTCTACCACTCAGGTAAGGAATTATTGTGGGTTGCCTACAAACTAAGCCACACTTTAGTCCTATTGGTCCTATTATTAACTGTGTGTGTGTGTGTGTGTGTGTGTAGCTTCTGGAAAGATCCTCTCCCTGGTCCCAACCCAGCAGATTTCTGATGCAGACATGATCGTTATAGATAGACAGACTTCTATGATCATCCTTCAAGCATCTATTAACTACATAATTTCTGTTGTTTACAAACTTAATAAAAGTACAATCTAAGGTATAACTAAATGAATTATATATAAAACTTATAACTAAAACTAAAAGCAGTTTAGTTTATAACCAAACCAGTTATAAGCCATTCAAATAAACAGAAAGAATACTTTCTGATTTGCCATCATAGACATAAAAGCATAAATGTAAATTAAATTCAGCACGAAATTATATTATCCTACCTTATGGCCCAGACCCCAGGTTCTCGAGGCTTCCCAAAACAAAACACAACAGCTGCATCTGTCATGACTATCCAAGATCTAACAAAGCAATATTAACAAATGTACTTGGTTTCTACTGCTGGGGGTTATTATTTTTATTTTATTCATTACATTTCTATACTGTCCCTCATCCAAAGATCACAGGGCGGCTTACAATATATAATTGCAAAACTATTTTCACAATATGAACATTGGGAATTGTACTTCAAAGTCTGCCACCTTTACATACAATGTGTTATGAATTCATACCAGAAACATCTGGCCTTATATTACTTCGCTGTGTGGGTTTCATTGTGATTTTTGGGACTGCCTGGAAGTTCATCAAGGACTCCTAGCACAACATGTACAACTGTTGAAGAACCTCTAGTACTGAATATGAACAATTTCAGCTCATCTTTTCTGTGTTTCTGTATATCTCAGCATGTGTGAAGTATTAAAATGGCACTGTCTAATGCACTGCTTGTAAGAGAAGGGTATAAATTAAAAAACAATAAGAAGCCTCTGAGTTTGTGTGTATTCCTCTGATTTGGAGTAATATCATTATTTTTAACCTTCTCAACTCCAGATATTAGCATTTTGAGCATAGTGTAGATAGCAGCACATTCTGAAAACTGATAGGACTCTGGATGTCTGTATCCTTTATGGTCCGTTATAAGAATTGTCTTTTAACATACAGCATATGCAAATTCATATAAACCTTTGTAATTAAGATATACACTACACTGCCACTAGTTTTATGAAGCGTTGTGACAAAAAAGATGTATATCTCATTATAGAGTGGTGACTAAGAACTACCAGCACCTCCTGGCTTTGGTATATGCTATAAAGGAGATCAATGAAAATTCTCAGATCTTACCAAATATCACCCTCGGATTCAGTATCTATGACAGCTATTTTGAAGGCAAGTGGATCTATCAGGCCACAATGCAACTTATTTCTACAAGAAACCGATTATTCCCCAACTACAAGTGTGATAGCCAGGACAATATAATAGCTGTTATTGGGGCACTTTTCTCACTAGGTTCTGAGGAGATGTCAAATATTTTGAGCATCTACAAGATTCCACAGGTATGATACCTGTTGATTTCTTGTGGGAATGTTCAGGTGTGACTATTACTACCACTGCTGCTGCTATTAATTTAGGACTAGCTTCTTTACTCCTGCATGTATTTAGAGAATATGAATGTCAGAACTGGAGTTTTGAGATATATACATTTAGTTCACTCTCCTTGTATTTCATGTTAGGGCAAACTATCCTGGATCATAAGGCATAAACAAGTTTAATGTGTAGAGGAATGCTGGGCCAAGAAGCCCAAATGGACAATGTTCTCCTATTTATTTTAGCTATCATTAATACATTTTTGTCAAGTGTATATCTGGTGAAGGAAAACAGAATAGAAATAAAACATACAAATTCTTGCATAGATGCGACTGATAATGAGCAACGCAGTTCTTAAATTTCCCTTCTTGGCAGGGACACCAACTGTAGAGGACCCTGGGGCTCAGCACCCACACCACAGGGCCCCTGACGCAACTTCTGGTGCCTCGCGGAGCACCGGAAGTCATGTCTGATGATGCGCGAGACCACAGAGGTGCTGTTTGAGGCTGTTTGAGTGCCATTGGAAGTCAGGTTTCAAGACATCATGAAACCTCGGACATTATCTCTGAGGCCTCGCGATATCTTGGAGATACTGTCTGAGGCCTTGCAAGACCTCAGAACCTCAGGTTCTGTAGCTAAGGGGCACATGACGTCGTGGCGTTGTCATCTCAGGGCACACGCGCTGGGGACCCATAACCCAGGGACCTAGTCAGCACCCCTGCTTGTCAGTAAAGCATGTTTGAAGTGTGTTTCTCTTGTAGTTACTCAGAAGTGTACCTGTGTAATAGTCCATAAAAGGAAGGGGTAGCTTGTCACTAGTGAGCAGCGATATTATATTTCCTCAGAGTAGCGCTATGTATGTTTTCAGACAACATTTTCACTTGTAGCAATGTTTGCACATAGTGTTCTGTTCTTTTTTCTTCCATTTTTCTCAGTCATTCCAAGAGGGCTAGAATTGATCCCCAGAATTATGGGGGGGGGGGGGACTTTAATCTTTCACTAAATTACTGGGGGAGTGGAAATTAAACACTGCACAACAAGTCATACCTCACCATGGCTGAGGACCACAAGGAACATAGAGTTGGAAAGAAGCAGACAAAACGTATTATATTCACCCTGCCCTCGCTAGCACTTTCAGGGTACATTTGACTCTACCTGTAGGTGGAGGGTGAAGGTTTGTAACTGCAACTTACTTCAGGTTCAAACTGCAACTTACTTCAGTAATTTATTAATAGATTCTTTTAAGATGTGCTCCAGTTAAATAGGACATTCTCTGTGCAAGTGTTCACTCTTAGGTCAAATCATCTTGATTTAATGATGACTATGCATAGTCTTGGAAATGTTTGAATATTCTCTTAGGTGTTGGAATAGATGACCCATTGGGTCCCATCCAATGCTATAATTCTATGAGCCCATGATTCTATGACATAAGTCTTCAGGCTCTGTAACATCTTTTAATTAATTGCATACTGCCCAGGAAGTTTATACTGAAATGTGTTCCAGGTTCTTTTGTTTAAGTGCATTGTTTTGAAAATCTGCATGTCTCCCTGTGTCAAAAATGTCTTTAGCTCTTGTATGGCTCTGCTCCAGTAACAATGGTCAACACTCTTTCCTTCTACACAATGGTACCAAATGAAAACCTGCATTATATGGGGATTCTCCATCTAATTTTCCATTTCGGTTGGAGGTGGATTGGGGTTTTAGCTTCAACATATGAGAATGCAAAAGTATTCGTGCAGTTCATGAGCCCAAGGATTTCGAAGGAGGGCATTTGTTATGCCTTCATAGAAACAATTAATGATTTCCCTCTTGATGCTACTAAAGAAGCCTTCGATAAATGGATAATGGGACTGTATGACAAAATCATGAGCAGCACGGCCAATGCAATAGTCCTAATTGGGGAAGACGATGTTATTATATTTCTGAGATTGTTGTTATCTCAGTCGGAAATGAAAGTACCCATTCAAAAACCCAAAGGTAAAGTGTGGATTCTATCAGCCCAAATGGAATTAAAATCATTAAGCAATCAAAGGACTTTGGATATACAATTCTTTCATGGTGCTTTATCTTTAGCTATGCAATCCAATGAGCTTCAGGGATTCCAAGAATTTCTTCAGAGAATAAATCCTTCCAGAGCAAAAGAAGATGGTTTTTTGAAGGACTTTTGGGAAAATGCATTTGACTGTGAATTCTCAAATTCTTCTATGGGAGATGCAAATGGGTCTATTTGCACTGGGGAGGAGAGGCTGGAGAACCTCTCTGGGCCTTTCTTTGAAATGAGTATGACTGGCCACAGCTATAGCATCTATAATGCAGTCTCTGCAGTGGCTCATGCTTTACATGCCATGTCTTCATCCACATCCTTAGCCAGAGCAGTGATGAAGGGGAATAGAAGACTCATTTCATCCCAACAGATATGGCAGGTAATATGCTCAAGATGAGAGCTACCTGAGTAAGGGTGCTCATTTACCTCTCAGTAATGTTTTAAGCAGCTGGAACCTTTGTAAGTTATGAAACTGTCCTGCCAGCCACCATTGGAGACTGAGCTGATTTCCGGATGACTTGAAATTTCTGATAGGGCTAGGAACTCCAGCTGGATATTCAAAGGTTTTTTGTTATGCAAAGATTCAGTTCCTTGTTCTCCAGTTGCATTGCTTTGATACTTATTTCTCTTTCTCTTTTCATTCTAGCTACACCATTTTCTAAAACATGTCTCGTTTAACAACAGTGCTGGAGACAAGGTTTCCTTTGACCAGAATGGGGTAATAGTAGCAGGATTTGATATTATTAATTGGGTCACATTCCCAAATCAATCTTTTGTTAGAGTCAAAGTTGGAAAGATGGATCCCCAGATACTTTCAGACCAAACATTCATCATTAATGATGATGCAATTACATGGAACACCTGGTTTAATCAGGTAAGTCTTGAATTTGGGTGTATTCTCTGAACTTAAAATGTCCACTAACAATGGGATGGTACACGTCTGAAGTAAGTCATACTGGGGTTCCCAGTTCACAGGGTTGGCAGGGATACATCACAATGCTAACTATGGCCACATTCACACTGTATTGTTATAGCAGACCGAATAAAATAAGGGTGGCAAAAATGATCATCTTATTTTCTTATGAGCAAAAAAAGAATACTGGACTAAATGTGAGCTGGCCTTTATTTATTTCTTAGTATAGAAAAACCACAGGAACAAATTCTATACAAAAACATTGTTTTATTGAAATCTAGTCCCATGCCAGCTTTTGTACAATTCATAATTGATTCTTTACACACTCACTACATGCAATACGAAATCCTGTCCATGTTTTCCATGTAGTCAACATTTCCTAATGAGATGAAATCATTGGATAACATGCTTTCTCTTGAATTTCTCATTTCCTAATGAGATGAAATCATTGGCTACCATGCTTTCTCTTCAATTTCCAGGACTCCCGCCTTTCCCCCCCCCCTCTTCTGAAGATTAACAGTGTCTTCTTTCATTTATGGATTAGGCACTACCCCTTTCTGTCTGCAATGCCTACTGTCAACCTGGTTATATGAAGAAAAAGAAGGAAGGGGAGCCATTTTGCTGTTATGATTGCATTCTGTGTCCAGAAGGAAAGATATCTGATATGCAGGGTAAGTGTTATAGTGATAAGAAATAGCAAACATGGCCAGAGGCATGCTCCACTGTGGTCTCTCCTTGCCACCACACTGCCACTTCTTTCTTACAACTCCAACCCTCTCCAGCCTCGGCAGCAACAACTTCCAACTTGCTTTTGGGTAAGCTGAAGACACAGTCAAAACTGAAGCAGGAGAGAGCAGCAGCAATACCTTACAGAATACCCACTTTCCACCAAGACTCTTGTCTGAAACTGAGAGGAACATAAATTTAAGATCAGTACAAGGATGCGTCTCCAGTGCTATGTTTATTCAGCATTAGATATGTGACTTGTTATTCATGCGTGTTCATGATTTTAATAATCTGCTCCTTGCTTTTAGCACTTAAGCAGTGCTAATTAAATCATTGATAAAATGTGGACTATAAAGATAACTAAAGCTATCTGTAACAATACTCATTGTACATGTTTTTGGCTGTTTGAGAGTTTCCTAGAGGGTAATCAGAGCTTACACAGATTATTTTCTGTCATGGCTCAGGGTCTTTCACCATGGTTCTTCAATGATACTGATACTGAAAAGGTTTCCCATACCTTCTTTGAAATGCAGAGTCCCGTCCTACAAGTGTAATCAAAAGAGTGTATCACATTCATACATATCACACTGTGACAGATAAAAAAGAAATTGGTTAACTGAGATTTGTTAATTATTGTAGTGACTACAATAATAATTGTAATACTTGAAATGATGCACGTAATATTTGTTCCATATCAAGTATTAGGAGAGAATTAATATAGGGTATTCTTGCATGACTGAAATCACAATCGCTCTTTTTTTCAGATATGGATGACTGCTTCAAATGCCCAGATGATCATTATCCTCAAGTGGATAAGACTTCTTGCATTCCCAAAGTTTTGACCTTCTTAACGTATGATGAACCTCTGGGGATTGGTTTAGCTACTTATGCTCTTTCATTCTCTTTGATCACAGTTCTAGTGCTAGGAATGTTTATGAAGCACCACAATACTCCTATTGTTATAGCCAACAACAGGAACCTCACCTACACTCTCCTCCTCTCCCTCCTGCTCTGCTTCCTTTCTGCATTGCTATTCATTGGACAGCCTCAGAAGGTGACGTGTCTCCTCCGACAAACTGCTTTTGGCATCGTCTTCTCAGTGGCTGTTTCTTGTGTGCTGGCAAAAACCGTCACTGTGGTTCTGGCTTTCATGGCCACCAAGCCAGGATCCACCATAAGGAAATGGGTGGGGAAGAGGCTGGCCAATTCCATTGTTGTTTCTTGCTCCCTTATTCAAGGAAGCATTTGCATTGTGTGGCTGGCAATTTCTCCTCCATTACCAGAGGCTGACGTACACTCAGTGGCTGAAGAAATTACCTTGGGATGTAATGAGGGGTCTGTGGTTATGTTTTACTGTGTCATTGGATATATTGGCTTCCTGGCCATTGCCAGCTTAACTGTAGCTTTCCTTGCCAGAAAGTTACCCGACACTTTCAACGAAGCCAAGTTTATCACTTTTAGCATGCTACTGTTTTGCAGTGTTTGGTTATCATTTATCCCAACGTACTTGAGCATTAAGGGGAAATATATGGTAGCTGTGGAGATCTTTTCTATTTTAGCCTCCAGTACTGGGTTGTTGGGCTGCATCTTTTCTCCCAAATGTTACATTATTCTGTTGAAGCCTGAATTGAACAATAGAGAGCAGCTAATAAAAAGGAAAGATGTAAGAATCAAATGACTGTGTCTTCTCCTACAGTTAGTGATCTCCAGATAGGCTGTATATAAATTGCCTCTCCATTTCCTAAGAAGGTTGTTGTGTGTTCATAGTTGTTACCACTGAATATAGCTTTATGAAAATAAAACACAGGTGAATTTTAATGAGAACTTCTTTTTTTTTACTTAGGAAAATCTCTGATATGGAAATGTGGAGAACTGTATTTAATATTGGGGGAAATGAGAAGTTGGAGTGTGTTGAGTACGATTCTAGCTCTGGATTGGAAGCTAGAGCTCTCGATGATTGAATTCCATCTCCTCTTCCCTCACCCTGTCCCTACCCCACCATTCTCCTTACATGGTGTAGATAATAACTGCAACACTTTGGAGGCATTCTGTCTGGCTTTAGAGATACTGCTTTTTAGTTCCACATCAGCACAATTCACTATGAACTAATTGATGAGCACCTGGTGGTGTGGTTTGTAGCTGCCTTGATTCAACCTGGATTCAGCACAATTGGGTTACAAATTGCCTGATTTGGTTCAAGAATCAGACAAATCAATTATTCAGCCCTAATCACACAATGAAAGATACTGAAAATAGTTTCTTGGCTGTCACGAATGCCATGTAGCTATGAACATGGATTCAGCACAAATATTGAAGCCTTTGACATCAGCCAGTGTAAGGCATTAATCTGAGTGAAATGGGTCAGCTACAGCAATAAACACATATTATCAAGCTCATTGATATTATCAGTTCATTAGCCAACCTAAAACGCTGATGTGTCTTCTTCGCTGAACTGCTTTTTTCGCAATCTTCTCAGTTACAGTTTCTTCTATATTGGCAAAAACTATCACTGTGGTTCTGGCTTTCATGGACAAGAAGCCAGGAAGCACAGTCAGAAAATGGGTGGGGAAAACACTGTCCAACTTCATTGTGCTTTGCTCCTCATTCATCCAAATAGGCATTTGTGCTGTGTGGTTAGCAACCTCCCTCCATTCCCACATATGGACATGCACTCAGTGACTGAATAAATTGTATTAGTGTGCAACGAGGGGTCTTCCACCATGTTTTACTGTGTCCTGGGCTATATGAGCTTGCTAGCCATTGCTAGCTTTACTGTGGCTTTTCTTGCCAGGAAATTACCTGACAGTTTCAGCGAAGCCAAATTATCACTTTCAGTATGCCTGTGTTTTGCAGTGTTTGGGCATCCTTTGTTACAGCCTACTTGAGCTCCAAGGGGAAGTACATGGTGGCTGTGGAGATTTTCTCTGTTTTAGCCTCCAGTAGTGGTCTTCTGGATTGCATCTTTTCTCCCAAACGTTATATTATTATGTTGAGGCCTGAGCTAAACACAAGGGAGCAGTTAATTAGGAAAAGTCAATGAAGTGTTTAGTAACTAATTTATGTAGTCGTTTAAACACTTTTCCAGTTGCAATGGGTTTTTAAAAAATCTATATAGATCTGAGAAGATCCCTGGGTAGAGTGATGATCCTTTGTGAGGGGAGAGTGGTATGACAATGACTACCATTTCCCTGGTGCATCACTTCTCATATAATGGATGTGTGGGTGCAGTGATCCATTTATTAATGCTATTGGCATCCTTCTGTCTAGGGAGACAATGGAGTGCGCCTCGGAGGGGAGAAGTCAAATTATGCCGTTTTTGCTGCATTAGCAGCACTGAAGTGACCACTTGGGGCACAAGCATGGGCAGTGTATATGGAGTTGCATGCCAAGGCTCTGGGCCCCGCATTTCCCTTTGCTAATAAAAACATTGATACAAATATTTAAGTTGGGGGGGGGCAAGGCCACAACTTTATTGGTTACAGATGTGAGAAGTTTGGCTTAGGCATTGGGTGAATCCAAGCTATATCTTGACTCCCGCTCATCTGCAGGGAGTCCAACTAAGGGTAAACCACAAGTAGGGGGAACCCTATGGCGTACATAAAATAAGGGCACCCCGAGGGGTCCCCGATGGGGTCGTGGCATGGCCCAGCCCACATCTGGACATTGGACACACCCCTGGATCCCTTTAACAGCATATCCTTGATGAGGAGGGGCAGGTGGAGGCTACAACCTCACCTCCATCCAAACAAAGGCTTACCCAATCCCTAACCTTACAAAGGTGTGATGATTGCTACCAGGCAGGTGAAAACCAAATGGCCAATTTGCCAAGTGAAGAAAAATCCTACCTGGCCCCAACAATATTGCGGCCAACAGATGTCCATACCAAGGTCATATATGAAGAAAGCATAAAAAGAGTGTGGGTGCATAGGGAGACCCAGCAAAAGGAGGCCACACCTACTACCAGAGCTGATTGGCCAGCAAGACCTTGCTGGGTGTAGCCCTGCCCAGTGCTGGTGACATGACCAGGGTGACGCAAGCAAGGGGCGTCAATCTCCGCCCCATGCCGGATCACTATCAGGTCCTGGATGCCTGACCGCAATGCCGCCCACCAGAAAAGGTGGTGCCAAGATCACAAGCCCACCCTCCACCACTTGGAATATGTTTGGTACCAGCTTGGCTGTAGGAGCTGCCAGAATGATGCATACAAGATGCCATCCACTCTGGATTTGTGTAGGGTTTGCTGCTTAGCATTTTCTTCTCCCAAATATGTCCTGCAAGGCAGTAGAGGTTTGGGATCAGCTTTCCATCTCCTAGATGGACTACTTTCCCAGGTTGACGAGCCCCATCTGCCCATGCCATAATATTCTTCTTAAGTTATACTGAAACATGCTCTACACAGAGCTGTCCTTGAGCAGTATTTTGAAAAATAAAACAGTCAAGACTCTTCTTCCCTGGCATGTGCTTTATGAACCATATAATACATGTCATACTCCGTATCCAGTTTGTTCCCTATCACAACTCAGGTTTTTAGTTCTTATGAAAAACCTCTTCCTTCTCTACGAGCCTGCACAAAATTTACTATCATCTTGAGATATCATGTTGTATATCCCTCCTCCAAGGGAGACAAGGTTCATAAAAACTTGGGACAGCACCTTTTTCTGCTGTAGTTACCAAATTATGAATCTCCAAATTTATTAATTCAAGTGATAAGATTTACATATTATTACTATCCTTATTATAATTATTATTAGTAGTAGTATGTGTCAGTCATGTTAACTTGCCCCGGGCAAACCAATGTAACTTATAAGCAAACAGGACACCACTTTTACATGTAATATAATTTTTTATATATTGCCCCTTAATGAGTCATTGTAAAAACTGAATGTGGGACTACATGTAGGCCAGTAGTACTGTTGCTTGGGAAGCAGGTGAGCCAAGGATGAGTACCCTTGCTATTGACAACTTTAATAGCAAATGGCTATTTTAGAAGATGGTGAATTAAATTCAGTATGGACCACAAAAAACCACATTGACCTACATATCTGATCTGCAACACTTTAATTAAAAAGAAGTGTGTTTTGCTCCTCTGTTCTGATAGAAGGCATATGCAATGAAATGTGGGCATGTCGTAGGTGGCATAGGAGAGGTCAAGCTACATTGAGCAGTTTTTAATGCATTATGGATTTTTGAAGCATTATATACTGAAACCTTTCATTGGCACAATAGGAGGTACTGGCAGACAGACGGGCATGCAAGGACATAATATTGTTGAACCCAGATGCGGACAATAATGGATTAGATGGACCAAAGGCCTGAAGAAAACTCAAATATTTCTCATCCCCACTCCCAGCATAAGTTATTTAATTTTGCTAGTATAATTTTCATATTATTGTTCTGCACTGTCCAACTAATAGAGAGAAAACGCTTCCTTTTGGACATGACAATCATGCAATTTGAGTCCCCTGCAATTATTCAGTGAACTGCAATTATTGTCACTGTTTTCAAAATCCACTCAAGAGTTAGACTAGCCTAGTCAATAACAAAACGAAGGGGAAATTCTGAGACTGATGGAATAAAGGGAACTCTCTCTCATACAATTCTGAATAGAAATACAGTGTTCCATCACATTTTAAATTTCAGTAAGTAGGAAGCAGGGACGCATGTTGTTCTGCTGCTAAGAAACATTAATCATACTTTTACTTCTGCAGAAAAGGTAATCTAGATTAAGAGTGGGGGTTTTTTACTCGGAATGGCTGCATCGGTGGTGTTACAGCTGATGATTCTCCTCATAGTGGGCAATAGTCCTTTTGGTAAATGTAGAATCCAGGATCCCTACCATATCCTTCACAAATATTTTCAACCAGGAGACATAATATTTGGAGCTATTTGTTCTCAGAGTCTCATCCTCTCCAGTCCAAAAGACTTCATACATAAACCTCCACAGACGCTATCTGAAGAGCCTGTGTAAGAAATGCTTTTACCCTCTTTAGTATTTTGAATAAACATTCACAAACTTTTTATTGATAATTATTACTTAAATAGTTTGAGGATCTATACAACTGTGTAACATGCAGAAAACAGCATTTTAGAGAAATCAAAGACTGGAACTGAGGGAAGTCGGGGGGGTGGGGGTGAGTGGGTTCTGTGGGGGGGAGGGAGGAAAAAGGGGGGAAAATATGGATGATATGTTTCTAGATAATATGTTTTGTTTTAATTTTGAATAAAAAAGTAATTTTTAAAAAAGAAATGTAATAGATGATATTAATGGTAGGCAGTCAGTAATAAGTGCACAGTACTAGGTTATAGCAACATTGTGGTGAATAGTAATAATGAAAGATGTGCACAGCATGGTAGAAATATTTTTATAAAATGTGCAAAATGCATGTAACACTAAATGCAAATATCTTTGCAGTATAGTGACAAAGAATTACCAGCACATCCTGGCCTTGGTGTTTGCGGTAAAGGAGCTAAATAAAAATCTCAAGCTCCTACCAAATGTGACCCTGGGATTCAACATTTATGACATCTATTCCAGTGCTGAATTGACCTATCATGCCACAATGAAACTGCTTTCCACAAGGAATATATTTATCCCCAACTACAAATGTGACATCCAGGAAAATCTGATTTCCATCATTGGGGCACTGCATTCAGAAACATCTCACCAGATAGCAAATGTTTTGAGTATCTTCAAGATTCCTCAGGTAGAGTGCTTGTGTGATTCAGGAATCTACATTTTATGTCATTTTCTTCTTTATTTTCAGATGTGTCATAGCCATTCAAAGACAGCAATGGGTATAAACAAATATGTTTCATCATTTCACTGAACATGTTATTCAGAGAAATCAAAATAATGTTTATCTTTATTACATAGTGAATAGAAACCTTTCCTTATATGAGCTTTAGTAATATTGTTATCAACACATCTGAGGAGATCAGGTCATGTACATGTGAATTTTTCATTTGATGATTCAGATGGGCTTAGAATTCTTTATGTCTTTTAATTTTTCTACTGTTCATGTTGAGGGCTGTTTATATGTTATTGGACTGTTATCCTTCTTTTGCATTGGACTACATACTCCTCCTCTACAATCTGTAAGAAGGAACTATATTGTTTGATGAGTGACATGACTCTATGGCAGCTTAGTACCACAACTTTCCCTATGGTAAGATAATAATTCTGCCTACTCTCCAAATTGACCTTTAGCTATTGTATGGTTCTATGTCTTGGAGGACACTTCAAACTGAATTTCTTTCCTCCTATCGAATGGTCCCAGATGATATCCTCCAGTACTTGGGGATTCTACAGTTACTCATTCACTTCAAATGGATATGGTTTGGATTCATTGCTGATGACAATGATAAGGTAGAAATGTTTCTGCAACACATGCTTCCCTTATTTTCCCAGAAGGGCATCTGTTTAGCCTTTGTAGAAACATGCCCTTCAAGTTTTAGTTTTGATGAAGATGATGAGAACGGAGAAGTAATGAAAAAAGGGATTGAAACCTACATCAGAGTCATGAGCAGCACAGCCAATGCATTGGTGTTCTATGGAGAAGCAGATTCCATAATCTTTTTGAGATGGGTACTATTTCTACCAGAGTTGGATGACACAATACAAAAGCCAAAAGGTAGGATCTGGATTCTAACAGCACAGATGGAGTTAAAATCATTTGTCCACCAACGGCATTGGGATATACAAGTCCTCCATGGTGCTTTATCTTTTGCAATCCACTCCAAAGAGGTTCAAGGGTTCAAGGAATTTCTTCAGGGTAGAAATCCTTCCAGTACAACAGAAGATGGTTTTATCAGAGATTTCTGGGAACAGGCATTTGGCTGTGTATTCCCAAGCTCTGCTTTGGATGATGTGGTGGGTGATATTTGTACTGGAGATGAGAGTCTGGAGAACCTTCCTGGGCCTTTTTTTGAAATGAGCATGACTGGTCACAGTTACAGTATCTATAACGCTGTCTATGCAGTGGCCCATGCTTTACATGCCCTGCTTTCATCCAGATCCAAATATACAACAATGGCAGAAGAAGAAAGAAGGGAACTTCAGAATATTGTACCATGGCAGGTAAGGCCTGTGAGAAATATTCAAACATAAATGGCGTTGTCATTAATAACATTTCACTACTGATATATTACATTATTTAATACAGGTAACATCATGTAGAGAAAGAAGAGTTTCAGTGTGACTTGTGACATCCTCATACTCAAGTTGGGGCCAATTTGTGACACCCCAGATTCCCCTCAGAAGAAGATTCTGTTGATTTGTCATGGTGGGCGTGGGTGGGTTGGCCTATGTGAGAAGACTGACCAATCCGGCCCAATAGAGGAAGAAACACTCTAGTCTTCTCTTTGGAGTGCCTTCCCTCCCTCCCTCCCTCCTTCCCTGTGCAGTATGGACTTTGCTAATTGCCCATTTGGGAGCTGAGTAGAAATTTTGCAGGAGCTCCGAATTGGCCTGGGGGCTCCCCTTATTCATCTACTTCAAGCTGTTGAGAGCAACTTGCATGGAGTGGCAATGAGTTTTGATTGGTTTAATTAGCTGATAGGCTGCCAGTAAAGACAAGTGAAGAGATGGTAAGGCAGTATTGGATTAAGGGTTCTCTTTGGCCACTTTACACTGCCTTGTGTGGAATCACTGGGAGAGGGGGGCTTTGCATGTGTGTTAGGGTGAATGCTGAGCTGTTGGGACTGTTGGGCACTTGTTAACTTTAAATATCTGATGCTTTCGAAGCAAGGAGGTCCCTTGTTCCAAGGCCACAGGTTTCAATTAGAAACATGCCAGACAAAGAGAGAGGGAGGTAAGGAGGGAGAGGGAGGGAGACATGGCTTCTCCCATCTTAGTAACTTCGCTACCTGAACTATATTTTGATTAGTATAATTATGTGTGTTGGCTTGCAGATCTTCTAAGATGTTATATTGAATAAATATAATGTTTTTCCCACGACAGTCTGGAAACATTTTCAGTGGTGTTGACAAGGTCCAGGATAAAAAACAACAACCCAATACATTCCACAATGGTAGACTATTGTATCTCAGAGATAATGGTTCAAGTTCCTTTTGTTAAGCACCTGTGTTTTCCTTTTCAATCTAGATCCACCACTTTCTGAAACAAGTCTCATTTAACAACACTGCTGGGGATGTGGTTTCTTTTGATCAAAATAGAGTATTAATAGGTGGATTTGATATTGTAAACTGGGTCACATTCCCAAACCAATCTTTTGTTCGAGTAAAAGTTGGAAAGATGGATCCTGAAACCCCAATTTCAGAGCAAGAATTCACTGTTAATGAAGATGACATTGTGTGGCACAGCTGGTTTAACCAGGTAGGACTTGGAAACAGCAGTTTCTGCAGTTTCCTTACGGAAGCACTGGGCTCATCCACACTACCTTTTTTGTGTCATGCTTTCAAAGGACAGGTCCAGGATTTTGAAATCTATGTCTGAGTGGTTTGATTTTGATTTTTATAAAATATTTTCATTTTTGTCTCACTGCTTTCCCTGAGGAAACCCACTGGAAAATAAAGTAAAATAAAATAATCGCTGTCAGTAATGCATATTTTTTAACAAAATGGGCATCCTTTTCTAAAGATCTTCCTCTATTCATAATAACAATGACAGATATTTTGCATGGCTGTCTCCCTCTAGTGCCTGTGTGTTAGCATTCATTGAAGGACAGTGAAATATTGTCACTGTAAGAGGGCTGTACTGAAAGGAAAGGAGATACTTCCCAATGGGTAACTTTCACACTGTAAGAGGTAACTGTGTCACTTTCTGAGTGTGCCTATCTTCAATTTGCTATCTGAATGGTGTTAATCTTACTTATCAAACACCTTGGTATTAAAACCACACAAAATTCACATTCTCCCCTTTCACTTATGGATTAGGTACAGCCCCTTTCTCTATGCAACGATCACTGCAATTCAGGTTATAGCAAGAAAAAGAAGGAAGGACAGCTGTCTTGCTGTTACGACTGCATTCTGTGTCCAGAAAATAAGATATCAAATGAGAAAGGTAAGATTGGTTGCACACAACGTTATCAAATAAGTTGTACATAATTCAGAGAATAATGCATGCAGGCCTCGACATCAAAAAGTAATCTCAACAGATAATTGGAATAGGTGTGGGGAACCTCTGGCCCTCCAGATATTGCTGAACTACAATTCCCATCAGCCCCAGCATTCATGTAAATGGCCAGGGATGATGAGAACTGTAGTGTAGGAACACCTGGAGGTCCAAAGGTTTCTCATACCTACTGCAGAATGAGACAACAGACAATAGCAGGATGGTTAAAACCAGGGTGGGGAAAATGTTAAGCCCAAGGGCCACATATTCCTATGAACAGATTTTCAGGGATGTATCCAGATATAAAAGTAGATAGATCAAATTATGACTCTTGCCTTAATACAATAGGCTACATTCCAGCTACAAAGAAGATAAATTTGTGCACCTTCACATACCTCTCTTCCCTCTCAGTCCAGGCTAGCAAGAGGCATTATCGTTGTTAAAAGGCACAGTCCATCCAGACAAAAGAGCTCTAGTAGGATGCTGAGCTCTGTGGGGTTTGTGAGGAGTCCTGAGGTAAGGAAAGAGATAGCTAGAGGATTTGAGGTTCCAGTTCCATTGGGTAATAGCTCAACACTTAATTTAACTATAATTAAAGATTTGCAACAAGATAACTAATAATCCAATCCTATATGCAAGCATAACTAAAGTTTGCACCAATTCTGCAACACCGCAGCACTACACTGGCTTTAGATTATAGGTCAGTGCTTTTCACTGCTGGCCCTTATCCAATGCAAGCTCAGGAGGCTCCTCACTCTTCCATCCCATAACACTTGGGCAGCATTTGGAAAGAAGAAGCTTCTTGAACCTTGACCCCACTCCCTAACACACTTCAAGGCAGCTAGCAATAAGAGGAAGGTTGGGAAAACATTATTTCACAATAAACTCCAAGCACCCACCTCCTCCCTATATGATGTACTTGCCAAATTTAGGTCAAATGCACGTGACCAAAGTAAAAGAGCCAATTACCAAATTAAACCACCACATCCTGCATTAACTGTAGTCTAATAATGGAAAACCCCATGGGCATAGGTGTGGGGGGCAGCTGCCCCACCACCAAATCTAGTAAATAAAAACAAATACTTAACTAACTGACCAATTGTGTCACAGATAACTCAGTTCTGCCTCCAAACATAATACCTGTCTCTCCTAAAATAAATCCTGGCTATGCCTCTGGAACCCCCCCCCCAACAAATACTTTCAGTTGCCCTTCTCCCAAAAGATAAATGTGTAATCCCAAATTGATACAGGGGAATGAGCAAGCAGAAAACTGTATTGAGACTGGTACAGAAGGAACAGATGCTCAAGAAAACCCAATTCCATGTCCTCCGATAGGCTTGATCCTTGAACATAATAGGGCCTAGCCAGCCATTCAACCATGATACTTCTCTTGGGCTAAATGGTGGGACAAAATGGTCCATGATACATTCAACAAGAGGAGATAGATCATTCTGTATTTGAAATGTGTGTACAATTTGGAAGTAACACAATGAGCCTTACATTGTTACAGTTTCAAATGATGACATGCTAGAGGAGTTGAAGGGGCTAGGACTAATAGGATAAATTATTCTAGATGTTCTGGGAAATGCTTTGAAATGTGATAATTCTTTTGGAATATGTAATGAACCATGGTTGTGTCAACTGTTATGTACACACATTTCACAACCCACAGAGAATTGAATGTTCAGTAAGTGTAAAATAGTGTATATGTTGTATTTATTCATTATATAGGTCACTTTATACAAAAACAAGATCTCAAATCAATCTTCTTTTTATAAAAAACTACTTTGATATAATAGAGACCACAACATTTCTTCCTTTTTTCAGATATGCCTGACTGCTTTCAATGCCAAGAAGATCATTATCCAAACGAGGATAAAAATGCATGCATTCCCAAGCGTATACATTTCTTGTCATATGAGGAACCTTTGGGGATCATCTTAGCTACTGGTGCTCTCACATGTTCATTGATCACTGCTCTAGTGCTAGGGATTTTCAGGAAGCACCATGACACCCCCATTGTGAAAGCCAACAACAGAGGCCTCACCTACACTCTCCTCATCTCCCTTCTGCTCTGCTTCCTTTGTGCTTTGATATTCATTGGCCAGCCTCAGAGGGTGACGTGTCTCTTCCGGCAAACTGCCTTTGGCATCATCTTCTCAGTGGCTGTTTCTTGTCTGCTGTCCAAAACGGTGACTGTGGTTCTGGCTTTCATGGCTACCAAACCAGGATCCAGGATGAGGAAGTGGGTGGGGAAAAGATTGTCCACCTCCATTGTTCTTTCTTGCTCACTTATCCAAACAGGGCTTTGTGTTGTATGGTGGGAAACCTCTCCCCCATTTCCACATACTGACACTCATTCCATGAATGATGAAATTTTATTAGAATGTAATGAGGGCTCCACTATCATGTTTTACTGTGTCTTGGGCTACATGGGTTTCCTGGCACTTACCTGCTTCACTCTGGCTTTCTTTGCCAGAAAATTACCTGACAGTTTCAATGAGGCCAAGTTTATCACTTTCAGCATGTTGGTCTTTTGCAGTGTGTGGCTGTCCTTTGTTCCAACCTATCTGAGCACCAAAGGAAAATACATTGTTGCTGTTGAGATCTTCTCTATTTTAGCTTCCAGCTCTGGGTTGCTGGGCTGCATCTTTCTCCCCAAGTGTTACATTATTGTGATGAACCCTCAGCTGAACAATAGGGAACAACTAATAAGAAAAAAGCCTTGATTTTTCATTGTGTAATACAACAGATGTGTTGTTCTGTGAGCTATCCTAGTCTGTACATGCACTAGAACTCTACAGATGCCTAGTAATTTATAAATAATTTTAGAAGGAAGATGTTCTTGAAATTGTTCTCCCTTTATAAAGATATCTTGAAATTCCCTTTCTGCCACTGAAATGAGGGCTCAACCACAGTGTTTTACTGTGCCTTGAGCTTTCCTGCGCCTTTCCTTTCCAAGAACCTCCATGAAGCCAAGTTCACCACTTTCAGCATGTTATATATAAAAGGAAAAAAGGAAGAGCATGAAAACTACAGACTGATTAGTCTCTTCAGCATCATCAGAAAACTCTGCACAAGACATCTACAATGGAAACTCCTTGATTGGATTGCAGAAGAGCAAGCTGGCTTTAGGGATGCTCGATCCACTACTGATCAGTGCTCAGTACTTCAGCACCTAATTGAAAAGTTCTCCTCCTGTAAAACAACCTCCCTTTGCGCTGCTTTCATAGACCTCAAAGCAACATTTGACTCCATATCCAGAAAAACTGGAGGCTACCTCAATAGACCGGCAAATGCTTCATCTAATATGTATGTTTCATGAAGGGACCTCACTCAAAGTAAGATGTAACCCCCGGGGCCATCTTACTGATGCCATTGAAACTGAGAAAGGTGTCAAGCAAGGCTGCATACTGGCCCCACTCTTATTTAATTATTACATTAATTCCATGGTGGGCCATCTCCACAACATAAACATTCACTCCCAAAAACTTGCTCGAAGACACATCTCTGTCCTGCTGTATGTAGATGATGCAACAATACTTTCAAGAACACCTTTTGGCCTCAAAAGAGCACTGGGAACATTAACACAATACTGCAAGGAGGACCAGCTAGAACTCAACTATCAGAAAACTAAGCTCATGGCATTTGCCAAAAGGCCTTTGAGCCGCTCTTGGAGCATAGATGGCCACAAGATTGAGCAGGTCTCTTGTTTCAAATACCTGGGGGTAGTTTTTCACTCTACCAGCGGTAGGAAAGCCCACGGGGAACATGTTGCTGAAACTGCACAGACAAGCTCATCTGCAATCCTTAAATTTCTTAAAACCAGAGGTGGCCACTATATACCTGCAGCACTCAAATTCATTGAAGCCAAAACAATAGCACAACTTGTCTATGGTGCCCAGCTGGGCCCCTTCTCTATTTTTTCATCCCTAGAATTTGTACAATCCAAATTTCTAAGATCAGCCCTTCAAGTCCCACAATGTGTCTCTAATGCCACCCTGAGACTAGAGAAAGGTTTCATAAAAGTGGAGACTTCAGTTTGGGTGACCATACTCAACTACTGGCTCAGACTATCTTTATTTCCCCTTGGCCTTGCCCCACTAACTATGAACGATGGTTTTCAATTCACGTGGAAACAGGCTGTGGTAACCTCAGCCAGTCGCCCAATCCCACCTGGGGAGGCGTTGCCAGGGGATCAGCCAGATAGGGCCCACACAACAGAGGGTGGATCTTACCTGTGAATCGGTTTCAGGCCTTGGGTGGAATCTTTTAGTCTATCTTCCCTAAATGGGGGGGGGGAGCGTGAAGTGGTGACCCCCCCTTGCGGCGGTGATCCCAGGGTTCCCCGTTAAAGGGGTCTTGAGGGGAGGCATTGGTCATATGCCGAGAGGTTGTTATTGCTCTCCCCTGCGACGGCAGTGAAACAGGGGGTGGGCTCTCTGCTTGAACATATGTTCTCCAGAGCCAGCCCAATCCCCACACATTTTGGATAACCCTGATGTCCCCCAGATCCCCGGCTGGGGACTGGGAAGGATAAATGCCCAATGCCTGAGCCAAGGTCTCCCTACATCTGAAACTTAATAAAGTTGTGACCAGTTTTAATCCCATAGCACGTTGTCTTGAGTCATTATTCCACTCGGGAGTCGCCTGGGGTGGAGGTGGGGACTCCACCTGTCCACGCAATGGGCACTCATACTGGAGTGCTCTGTAGACTGATATCTGTGGTCTTAGATATACTAGCCTTTTGTTCTCTTTCACTCTTGTATGATGTTCCTAACCCTTCTTTAAGACCTTCTTAGCTTCTTTTGGATTCTTATATATATTCTGTTTTAACTTCTTTTAGTGTTTGTTTGTTTCTTTATCTTTTTTTATTTTAAATGACTTTAAAAGATTGTACCCCTCCCTCCCTATGCTGGTCTATGACTGTAATAAAGTGTTGTTGTTGTTAGTATTTTGCAGTGTTTGGTTATCCTTCATTGCAGCCTACCTGAATTCTATGGGGAAATACAGGGTAGCTGTGGAGATCTTCTTTATCTTAGCCTTCAGCCTTGAGTTGCTGGCTTGCATCTTTACTCCGAAAATGTTACATCATTGTGATCAAAACTGAGCTGTGGTTCAGTGCTTCTCATACAGATAATCTGTACTTCAATCTCTTGTTCAACCAATGGCTGGCAGGGTGAGGAGCAACCTCATGTGAAATTTTTAAGAATTACTACCTTTCTGTAAACTGTCCTGAGCTAAACTGAACAGTGGTCTAACTCAGTGTGTGACTGCTTTCTAAGTTCCGGTGACATTACAGTAATATTTTATGTGTGGGATAGTCATAATATACTGTGTTGCTCAGTCACATAACCTTGCAACCCGGTGTAGAAATCTACTCCCACTGTCAGGATGAGGCAGAGCAAAAGCTCTACAGCTGAGCATGTTTAGGGAGTGCTGTAAGTTTATGCCACCTTAACTTACACCAAATTGTTTTATACCAGCTTCTTGTGTGTAGGATTGCTCCCTCAGTGAGCCATAACTTTATTCTAAATTAGTCAGAATACACCAGAATTTCATATATTGTTCAAGTCTCAATCCCAATTCACTATTTATTTAATTATATGTTTTAAATTTTCCTTCCTTCCTTAAAGGGTGGGGAGGGAGAGAAAAGCTCGTGATAAATTTACCCATAATCTTTTTTCAATCTGCATTCAATTAAGCCCTCTACTATCATAACCATCAAGTGTGGAGAAAACACATAAGGGAAGGTAGCAGGGGCAGACCAAGACATTTTATTGTTGAGGTGAAGAACTAAATTGCAGCCCCCTCTCCATTCCAACTACATAAGGTGACTGGGGTGACAGTGGAATCACCCTTTAACACTGCAGTAGTTTTTCCTCCACTCTGACCAACTCCAATGGACCAACTTGGAAACTACATTGCAAGCTAATGAACACATACAGTCCTGTCCTCCAACATATTGTCACCACTGCTTTCATCTAGCACTGCTTACATCTACCAATTTGGGGAATAGGCCATAGTTCAGTGGTAGAGCTTCAGCTAACAATAATGATGGTACCAGGTACAAATGCTGGTATCTGCAGGTAGGATTCAGAGACCCCTGTTTTAAAAGGTGGATAACCCATGCCAGTCAGTGTAGACAATATGGGGCTAGGTGAACAAATTGTCTGGCTTAGTTTAAGGCAGCTTCTCATGTTTTTGATTTTGGCTCCAGATTTGGATCCAGATCAATTTCTTTAACTACTAGCCCCATTTTCTTCTTGTTACTCAAGGCTACCCCACTGAGTAGGAGATAATACTTTCCTTCAGAGATGGCAATCATGTATTTATTTCACTGTTCTCCAGAGAATACATCTTTCATCTGAGTCCCCTGTAATTAGCTAACAAACTGCAATTGATTCTGCTGCTTGCAGAATCCCCGAGAGCTATAGTAGCATAGTCAATAACAGAACTAATTAAAATACTGTAACTTTGGAATAAATATAACTCAGTCCCATACAATGCTGAACTAAGGAGCAGAATTTGGGAGAGATAAAGCTCCATGAGTTTCCTGTTTGAGATGCAAGATCTTAAACTCCAAAATTATGGTGCAGGGACATACAAGGCTTGACATTGAAGAAACACTGATAATTATGTTACATCTGAAGACAGGGAGCAAGATCAATAGTAAAGATTAGTATTCAGGATGCCTGCATCAGTGGTATTGCATATGCTCCTACTGTCCCAAATATTGGCCACTTCTGTTGTTAAATATGGAATGCAGGATCCCTTTGATATCCTTCACAGGTATTATCAGCCTGGAGACATCATCTTTGGAAGCATTGGTTCTCAGAGCATAATCCTTTCCAGTCCAAAGGCTTTTGATGAACAACCTCCCCAGAAGCTATCTGAAGAACCAATGTAAGAAATACTTTTTTCTACAGTATACCTAGGATATTTTCTATTTTACAAGCTCCCAATACAGTAGAGTTGGCAAATTTGTTCTGTAGCAGTGCATGAAAGATATATTTTCATTACTAAAACTTTTAGCATGATGTGTTAATGTATTTCTATGTTGACTCACACTCCAAGATGACAAGAAATTACAGCTGTTAAGGACCACAGCTTTAGCAAGCATGATATTTAGGCAATATTGATATGGTATGGTAATCCAGCTTCATTGCTACCTTGGAGCTGCATGACTGTCAATGGCAGAAGGATAGACCCAAGTCTCAGATTCCCTGTTCATTGGAGTAGACACATGCTGCCTATTCAACTGATTCTCTCATGAAATTGAAGCTACCATTTAGCATTACAAGTTCTGAACTGGCAACTAATGTCATCCCTATAGAATGATAAAGTTGGAAGGGAAATTGAAAAGCATCTGGTCCAATCCTCTCCTTAGTGCATGATAGCCATAGTTGAAGCATTCCTCCTTACTCTTGCTATCAATCTTTCACACAGGTTTGGGCTAGCTTTCTGAAACTGAAGCAAATATCCTGTCCATTTTTTTCATATTTCCCCATGGTTCAGAAGTAGCAAAATAAATGAGAAAAAGAGAGACATTTTAAGTACTTTTTCAGTTTATGGGACAGGAAATATTTAAGCTTAGAACCTGAATATAGAGTCTCAATAGAACACACCCTGGAAATATTCCACATAGAGATAATGTGGTCCAGCAGCTGCAGAAGGACACAGGAAATCAATTCGGAGAGGCCATTGTATCACAGATTAAAATACAAGTGCTTAAAAGACTTGTAAAGAGAAACATTAATGCCAGATGCCTCCAATGGGGTGAATTGGAGTACTTAGTCTTAGAAGACATCATTGATATAGTGGGCATAATGGAAAGCTAGCAGAATGGAAAGAGCCAGTGAGAAACAATTACCTCAGAATATAATCTCCATAGGAAGGAAAGAGAATGACAGAGTTGCTTTGTATAACAAAGAGATTGCTGAGTCCAGTCAACTAGAAATCCCAGAACAGGGATATAGCTTAGTCCAGGTATTTTAGTCTCAGTAATCCACACACTGGAAGTTTTCCAGATAGAGATAATGTGCTCTATGTTGTCCAAAAGCTGCAAAATGCTATGATTTGGTTTCAGGCAGGCACAGTTTGGTGACATTACTCCAATTCTGAAGGTGATAAAGGTAGGGACACAAAACATAGCATTTTCTGTTACAGCACTTCTCAGTAACATCATGCCAAGGATAATTTGTTCCAGTCCTACATTTCTATGGCCATTAAATAGTTATATTATACTAATGTCTTTAGATGGCAATTGAAAATAGAACAAATAGGCATTTGAAAATAGAATTTTGTGATCCGTTTTGTTGTATTGCTGATAAGGTAGGGGAAAGAAGGCTAAATAAGTAGATAAAATAATATAAATTATCATTATAATATAAATTATGACTACAGCTCTGAACTCATTCTTGATCCAGAAGACATGGTACCTTACTTGTTGATGTATATTTGATATGCCAACATAATGCTGAGCACCTGAATAAATGATTAATTTATGAAGTACTGGACTCCAGGACTGTAATGTTCAAAACCAACAGCAATAAATAACTTAATAATAATAAGAAATGTGCATGATGCAATAGAAATACTATTAAAAAGTGTAGAAAATAAATATAACAAAATGCAAATCTTTTCATAGTGCAGTGACTAAGAACTATCAGCACATCCTGGCCTTGGTGTTTGCTATAAATGAGATCAACAAAAACCCCAAGATCCTACCAAATGTCACCCTGGGATTTCATATGTATGACATCTATTCCAATGCTGCATTCACCTATCATGCTACAATGAAACTTCTTTCAACAAGAGACAGATTTATCCCCAACTATAACTGTGACTTCCAAGATAATCTTTTTTCAGTCATTGGGGCACTTCACTCAGAAACGTCTCGCCACATAGCTAATGTTTTGAGTATCTACAAGATTCCACAGGTAGGATGTGTGTGCAGAGTTTAGAAATGTATGGTTGTTGTTTTTAACCATTTTTCTTTTTTACCAGATGTGTGGCCTAATCTTTGAGAGACAGGGATAAGTACATTTCATGTAAACATGTAGACCTTACCATTTATATGAATGCCATATGCAGATACGTAGCATGCCATATGTAGTATAAACACCAACAACTGGGAAACACTCACCTGCGAGCACCTTTACAAAAGGTGGCATGGGTTTTGAAGATGCTTGAACTCAGAATGCAAGGGAGAAATGTGCTAAGAGGAAGGCATGCTTGGCACACCCTCGCCATGATCAACTCCCATCTGGAGACCTATGTCTCTACTGTGGAAGGACACGGGGATCCAGAACTGGTCTCCACAATCACTTACAGACCAACTGTTAAAACTGTGTTTATGGAAGACGATCTAACTTGGCTATGAGTGATCGAAGAAGAAGAAGAAGAAGAAGAAGAAGAAGAAGAAGAAGAAGAAGAAGAAATGCAGATAAGGGAAATCTGTACTTATAAATGGTGGAGAAAAAGACAAAAATATTCTTTTAAGCCATATACATGTGAAGTTATTCAAAAGTGCTTAAAGTTCTTTAGGCCCATTAAGTATTCTATTATTCATTGTGAGGGACATTTTAAACATTCCTGGATCCATTTGCTATCCTTTTGCATTTGGATCTCACATTCTCCTTTATAAACTTTTAGAAGGAAGCTAGTGTGGTGTAGTGGTTAAGAGCGGTGGACTCATAATCTGGGGAACCGGGTTCGTGTCTCCGCTCCTCCACATGCAGCTGCTGGGTGACCTTGGGCTAGTCACACTTCTTTGAAGTCTCTCAGCCCCACTCACCTCACAGAGTGTTTGTTGTGGGGGAGAAAGGGAAAGGAGAATGTTAGCTGCTTTGTGACTCCTTCGGGTAGTGATAAAGCAGGATATCAGATCCAAACTCTTCTTCTGCTGCTGCTGCTGCTGCTGCTGAGTAATTACAGTGCTCAGTACAATTCTGTTCTGGTTTGGGATCACAACTTTCATTGCCATAGCCCTACTATTACAAAGAAGGACATTTTATTCAGTGACAAAGAAGAAATGTACAAATGTTAATAATAACCACAAGGATGCTGTCAAGGGTAACACCTTGACCTCCAAATATGTAAGAATTGGTTTTATTACACTTGGGTATATGTGATGTTATATACATTAATATCTATAGTGAACCTCATATAAGTCCAATTACCTAATTGATCCACTGACCAGTCATTTTATTTAAAAAATAAAAAAAATGGAAACCTGAGTATACCCGAAGGAGCGTCTCCACCCCCACTGTTCAGCCCAGACACTGAGTTCCTCATTCGAAGGTCTTCTGGCACCCTTTTCACTGCAAATAGTGAAGTTAGAAGGAACCAGGCAGAGGGCCTTCTTGGCAGTGGTGCCTTCCCTGTGGAACGCCCTCCCATCAGATGTCAAGGAGATAAAGAACCACACAACTTTCAGAAGACATCTGAAGGCAGCCTTGTATCAGGAAGTTTTTAATGTTTGACATTTTATTTATTTTTTATATGTGCTGGAAGCCACCAAGAGTTGTTTATTGTTATTATCAGAAGGAACTACACATGACATCTAATTGGTGATGCATGCAAAATCTGGATAAGGGCCTCCCAGTTTCCCATTGTCCTGGTGTCTTGACTACTATTTGCCCACATTTGCTATTAAATAGAAATAATGGAACCCATTTGAATGACATAATCAAGTCATCCTATCCCCCCACCCATTTAGTAATGTAGTAAACTCATTCAGAATATTTTTCTAGTCTAACCTGAAATGGGGAAGGGGCTCTTTAATCTAGCCACAAATCATTTCTCCTCCTTGATTATGATGGTACTCCTCCAGCCTATAGGAGTGAGGTCTAATGCCAGAGCAGCAGGAAGAACACAAAGTTTCCTGTTTCTCCATTAAGAAAAAGAAGTATACCTGTTCATAGTCCCAAAATTATGACTTAAATCTTTAACATCATGCCAGAATAAAACAATTCGTATCTCAAAATCAAGCAAATTAGTGTACTAACAGATTCATTAAAGAACAGTGGCTTTTGGAATGACACAGTCTGCCCAGAACTGATAAGCCAATTGAAGCATACAGTGTACTTAAAAAAAATAAAGAAAGAAAAATACCTTTGTCCAGATTTAATCTATTTGAGATAGCATTGAAAGGAATGAATACATGTTTTCTTTTAATATATAAAAAATATTTTTTGGTTTTCTGCCCACTCCACTTCCAGTAAACTTTTAGCTTTTGTATGGTTCCACTCCTCGGAGGACATATATCACTGAATTCCTTTCATCCTATCAGATGGTCCCAAATGATAGCATTCAGTTCCTGGGGATTCTCCAGTTACTCATCCATTTCAAATGGATATGGATTGGATTCATTGCTGATGACAATGATAAAGTAGAAATGTTTCTGCAACACATGCTTCCCTTACTATCCCAGAGTGGCATATGTTTAGCCTTTGTAGAAACGTGTCCCCAAAATTTCAGCTTTGATGATGAGAATGGAGACATAATAAAAAAAGGAGCTGAAATGTTTGACAGAGTTATGAGCAGCACAGCCAATGCATTTGTCTGTTATGGAGAAGCAGATTCCATAATATTTTTGAGATGGGTGCTATATCTACCAGAAGTGGAAGATACAACACAAATGCCAAGAGGTATAGTCTGGATCCTGACAGCACAGATAGAGTTCAAATCATTTTCCTACCAACGCGATTGGGATATACAAGCCTTCCATGGTGCTATATCTTTTTCAATCCACTTCAATGAGGTACAGGGATTCAGAGAATTTCTTCAGGGCAGAAACCCTTCCAGCACAGCAGATGATGGTTTTATCAGAGATTTCTGGGAACAGGCATTTGGCTGTGTTTTCCCAAGCTCTGCTTTGGATGATGTGGTGGGTGATATCTGTAC